TTTAATTCATGTGTATTTACTGAGACATGTCATTTAAATCGTGTGTATTGACCGAGATTCGTCATTTATATCGTGTGTATTTACCGAGACATGTCATTTAAATAGTGTGTATTTACCGAGACACGTCATTTAAATCGTGTGTATTAACCGAGACACGCCATTTATATCGTGTTTATTTGCCGAGACTCGTCATTTATATTGTGTGTATTTACCGAGACATGTCATTTAGATAGTGTGTATTTACCGAGACACCTCATTTAAATCGTGTGTATTAACCGAGACACGCCATTTAAATAGTGTGTATTTACCGAAACACGTCATTTATATCGTGTGTATTTACCGAGACACGTCATTTAAATAGTGTGTATTTACCGAGACACGTCATTTAAATCGTGTGTATTAACCGAGACACGCCATTTATATCGTGTTTATTTGCCGAGACTCGTCATTTATATTGTGTGTATTTACCGAGACATGTCATTTAAATAGTGTGTATTTACCGAGACACGTCATTTAAATCGTGTGTATTAACCGAGACACGCCATTTATATCGTGTGTATTTGCCGAGACTCGTCATTTAAATCGTGTGTATTAACCGAGACACGCCATTTATATCGTGTGTATTTGCCGAGACTCGTCATTTATATTGTGTGTATTTACCGAGACATGTCATTTAAATAGTGTGTATTTACCGAAACACGTCATTTATATCGTGTGTATTTATCGAGACACGTCATTTATATCGTGTGTATTTACTCAGACATGTCATTTATATCGTGTGTATTTACCGAGACATGTCATTTAAATCGTGTGTATTTACCGAGACACCTCATTTATATCGTGTGTATTTACCGAGACATGTCATTTATATCGTGTGTATTTACCGAGACATGTCATTTAAATAGTGTGTATTTACCGAGACACCTCATTTATATCGTGTGTATTTACTGAGACATGTCATTTATATCGTGTGTATTTACCGAGACACGTCATTTTAATCTAAATTATTATTAACAGTTTGTAATAATATCTTAATTATTTTTCTAACCTTTGATCTTTTCAGTGATAATTCTTTGAATACTGATTAACATGTGTATGTTTATTAGTCTAAATTTTTATGTAGATTAATTGTTATCATTCCAATTTTTAGTTTTATCGGAAGCTAAAGGAAAATCCAAGAAAGAAGGTAAGCCAATAAACTTCTGATAGATAGACACGCCCTCTTTTCAACATAAAAGAGCATCACAGCTTTAATGTATCCTTATCATTCTAATCACCCGCTAATTGTAAAAAATTCACATTCCCGAGAAAGGATATCAACACATGTCAGTCGGTTATCAACACCTGTTAGTCGAGATTTTGAGTTGTCAAACCTTTGTGAAATCTCAATGACCACGAACTTGGGTACACCTGAGCTTGTAATTTTTTTCTGAATTTCAGTAAAGTTGCGCAAAGGACAGTCATGTAAACTAGGATGTACCGTTATGAAAAACCTAGAACTTGCACACCAACAATAAGGTGAAATGTTTGAACACCAGAGATAAATTCAATCAACCCTCTGTTAACATAAAAGCGGGAAAAAACAAAACTTAAAAACAAATCAACGTCAAAAGCGCATCAACGTTATTTGACAAGTAACAATCAAATAAAATTAACTTAAAAGAAGCGGATTTATCCTAAATTAGATTAAAGAATGATTAGGACTAAGGCTCAAAAAGATTCACACTAAAGTCGGATTAAAGCATGATCGAGATGAAGCTCAAAAAGATTAACGCTAGTCAGATAAAAGAATGATAAAAAATAAGACTCAAAAAGATTAACTCTAAAGTCAGATGAAAGCTTGATCAAGATTAGGTTAAAAATGATTAACGCTAACGTCATATTTAAGCTTGATCAAGATAAGGCTAAAAAGATTAATTGCTTAAGTCAGATCAAAGAATTATCAAGAATAGGGCTCAAAAAGATTAATTGCTTAAGTCAGATTAAAGAATTATCAAGAATAGGGCTGAAAAGATAAACACTAAAGTCAGATTTAAGCGTGATCAAAATTAGGTTCAAAATATTAATTGCTGAAGCCAGATCAAAGAATTATCAAGAATAGGGCTCAAAAAAATTAATTGCTTAAGGAAGATTAAAGAATTATCAAGAATAGGGCTGAAAAGATAAACACTAAAGTCAGATTTAAGCGTGATCAAAATTAGGTTCAAAATATTAATTGCTGAAGTCAGATCAAAGAATTATCAAGAATATGGCTCAAAAAGATTAATTGCTTAAGGAAGATTAAAGAATTATCAAGAATAGGGCTGAAAAGATAAACACTAAAGTCAGATTTAAGCGTGATCAAAATTAGGTTCAAAATATTAATTGCTGAAGTCAGATCAAAGAATTATCAAGAATAGGGCTCAAAAAGATTAATTGCTTAAGTCAGATTAAAGAATTATCAAGAATAAGGCTGAAAAAGATTAATTGCTTAAGTCAGATTAAAGAATTATCAAGAATAAGGCTGAAAAAGATTAATTGCTTAAGTCAGATTAAAGAATTATCAAGAATAAGGCTGAAAAAGATTCATACTAAAGTCAGATTTAAGCGTGATCAAGAATAAGGAATAAGTAACGTTAAAACTTCAAAAAGGAAAAAGCTCCGATAAAATCATCGCTAAAATAATGTTAATGATCGGCCAAGAGTAAAACTGAAAAACTACGCATAAATAAGATTAAAGTTTGAACAAGAAAGAACTATGATAAAAATTAACGCTTAAATAATATCAAAGTTCGAAAAAAGTAGGGCTCAAAAAGATTTATGTTAAATTTAGACCAAGAATAAGGCTCCTATAAGATTCATCCTAAAGCAAGATTAAAGCTTGAAAAAGAATAAACCTCAAATAAGATTAACGATGAAATAATACTGAAGCTTGAACAAGAATAATGCTCAGATACCATTAACGTTAAAAGGAAATGAAGCATGAATAAGAATGAGGCTCAAATAAGACTAACCACTAAATGCCTCAGAAATATATGTATTAGTAAATATGCATTTTCACTTATTTTTGTACTTTTTTTCCTAAGAAGTGAATTCAGTAATGTTTGAGACGATATTATCTACCATCAATCACATATAGATCTCAATATGTAATTTTCCATTTGACTCGACAGCGGCGAATTTCCATAGCAATCAAAAATGGAAATTTGGAAAGATTGCTTAAATCCTGTATAGGACATTGTTATGAAAAGTTACCTTATTTTCAAAATTTAATGTTCTGATAAAAAAACAAAAACAAAAACAAAAAAAAACAAAAACAATTGCCAATTTTAAAATCAAGATTTTAATTTTTGCGCCCTAAAATTCAAGAAAAGTGATCCATAAAGTGATCATTTATATATCTGAAAAATGCGATTTGATAATTCATGCAAAGTTTTGTTAAATTCTTCCCAATACCTCCAGAGCTACTCAAGAGAAGTACGGTAGCAAAGTCGTTAAAATTATTGACGCTTAAAACCGAATCATGACGTCGAACTTCGCCGTCACAAAATACAGTCTATGGGAAAAAATCTACAGAATATCATTTTTAGCGTTCCACTTTTGGAAAAAGGTGCAAGAAGTGAATAATAAAGTCAATATAAATTAGAATTGGATTCAGTATAGCCAAACAATGAATTAAACTCCACTTTTCAGCTGTTTTATCTTTTAAAGACACGTCAGTGATGGTAAGAGCCTAAATTGTGAAGCCGAGAAGGCGAGTGAGAAAAATCGTAAGTGAGCGAAAGAAATGACAAAATCTAGATGGGGAGGTGCTGTAAACCATCGTTCAATAAATGTCGTAATTTCCACTTGTCTGATAATATTCAAAGAACGTCAAGTATGTCAAAACGCAAAGTCGATGATATTATGTTGGAATTTAGTCTATAATGAATTATGTCATATTTCCTGTCAAACATGAGATGAGATCCATATATTCTTAAGATGAGCGTACAAATAAAAATTAAATATATTAACCATCAAATGAGATTAAGCTGTAATGAGAGTGACTGACGCAAGATATCGTTCACAATAAAAATAATATTCACAAATCATATGCATTCTGAAATAACACTTACAATAAGATTCGGTTTTTGAACCGAAAAATACAAAAAACATCAAAATGACACATTCACATATGTTACACGAGACTGATGAAGCACTGTGAACTAAATAATGAATATGATCTTATCTACCTGTAATTAACCCAATTCTTCTCTTACAAAAACATTCTTACTATGAGTTTCTTTCTTATCAGATAGTAGATCAAGAACTAGAATATATAAAGATGTTAAAAATAGATAATATTTGACTATGTTTATGAAAAGTAAATATATATTGATTATAAAATTTAGGTCAAAGGTCGAAATTATAATTAGCTATTTCATCTTTATCAGATCGAATTATCAAGATAACAATCATCGGCAGTCGGAGAGAATAATAAACACAGCTGTAGGAGAACTGAAACCTTAACGATCCAAAAAGGGACATTTCAGAAATTAATCTTTATCATTGTATTTGGTAACATGATGAAATCTGATGTATTGTTCTTCTGTTTCTATAATAAGTATATAATATCGGATTTGACGAAATCATTATATTTAAGATACAGTTTAACGTAAACCTGTGCGTATCGGTTGTATTTAGGACGAATTACAAATCACAACAGTATCTCATAAAGAACTATACAAAATATTTGGTAACAGTATGTAACCATAAGCAAATGCTTTTAAAGATATTAACATTTTCAAAGTGAATTCCAAATTATTCCGTGAAAAAACCCTGTGAACTTATAATTTGGAATTGCAAATAAAAAATAAAAATAATTTGGTTGGAGGACACACTTAGAAATTCTTTAGGAAATATTCAAGCTTCAGCGTCTTTGACAGAATTTAAAGAATAGTGACAAGATTTTCATGAATTTATTTGTCCAAAACCAATAGCCATTATAACGACAGATGGCTTGTGATAACACATAATTTATATTTGAAGGAAAATCCAAAGTAAAAAAATCAAGCAATGGCAAGATCACAAAAGCTAACAGTCAACAAAAATCGGTAGGATCTGCAACCAGTAAACTTCAGCAAATACTGCCTCAGATCAAGGCGTCCCCAAAACAATTAAAGGAATCAAAAGAAAAGAAGAACTCAAAGGAGAAAAAGTCTAAGAAAATGTCAAAGGAAAAATATTCCAAAAAAAGTAAAGAACACAAAAACAAGGCACTCTCAAAGGAGAAAAAGAATTCTAAAGGGAGCAAAGAGAAAAAAAGAAAGGGACATTCAAAAGAAAAACACTCTAAAGAGAGCAAGGAGAACTCCAAGGAAAAGGGACATTCAAAGGAAAAACATTCTAAAGAGAGCAAGGAGCACTCCAAGGAAAAGGGAAATTCAAAGGAAAAACATTCTAAAGAGAGCAAGGAGAACTCCAATGAAAAGGGGAATTCAAAGGAAGAACACTCAAAAGAGAGCAAGGAGAACTCCAAGGAAAAGGGACATTCAAAGGCAAAACACTCTAAAGAGAGCAAGGAGTACTCCAAGGAAAAGGGACATTCAAAGGAAAAACACTCTAAAGAGAGCAAGGAGAACTCCAAGGAAAAGGGACATTCAAAGGAAGAACACTCAAAAGAGAGCAAGGAGAACTCCAAGGAAAAGGGGAATTCAAAGGCAAAACATTCTAAAGAGAGCAAGGAGTACTCCAAGGAAAAGGGACATTCAAAGGCAAAACACTCTAAAGAGAGCAAGGAGCACTCCAAGGAAAAGGGACATTCAAAGGAAAAACATTCTAAAGAGAGTAAGGAGCACTCCAAGGAAAAGGGACATTCAAAGGAAAAACACTCTAAAGAGAGCAAGGAGAACTCCAAGGAAATGGGGAATTCAAAGGAAAAACACTCTAAAGAGAGTAAGGAGCACTCCAAGGAAAAGGGGAATTCAAAGGAAAAACACTCTAAAGAGAGCAAGGAATACAACAAAAAACATTCAAAGGAGAAGAGCTCACATTCAAAGGAAACCAAAGAAGTCAAGCTTATTCCAAAGAAAGGTCTGAATTAATTACACTTTTTCGTCGATTTTATATACAATTTTGTTGCTCATCATTTAAATACAATTTTGCAACATTGTATTTCATCTCGAACTTTGACTAGTCCAACAAACATACTATTGCAAAACATTTTAATCCACGATCATCTGTTTTTTATAGAAATAGTTTCAATAAAGATACCTTGAGGTGTACTGGAAAATGAATATATTGATTAAGATATTAATTTTAAAACACTTTGACAACAATCTAGAGTACAGATTGGATCTGATTGGGAAACTTTTCGTTCGTTTGTCCAACTGTAAACAGTTCCATCTTCTGTCTACAAAACATTTTTATGAGACTTAATACCCATTATCAGCATTGTATATACAGGTAGATATGCGATTACGGTAAATTTAATTCAGATCCAAATTTACTTCTGCTTAGAGTATCCAAGCAAGAAGCGTTATGAAGCATGACCGATATTGCAGAGGTTCAGTAAAGTTTTTTTTATGTCGAATACGCCAAGGTAAGGACGACTGACCTCCACATCTTACAAAATGGTACCCGTACGGCCAGTCAAGAGACCAATTAACGAATAAATATTTTCCAGTCCGCCTGCTGGATATGTAAATCCTATCGAGCATGTGTGGTATATGCTTCAAACAGCTTCTCTCTCTCCCTGCTTGTATTGTTCAGCAAAAGACGCTCCTTAAATAGGAACACTTCTTGAAGCTGATTGTTATACTCTTCCACAAAATCAGAAACGTAATCTGATTCGGGGCATGCGCAGATTTTGTACATTTGAAACTGATGTTCATAGGCACCACATTCAATTCAAAACGGTTGATCTTCAATGATGCAAAAAAGGTCGTTGCTTTCAATTTGAAGGGTAACCCTTTCTTACAGCTCATTTTCCGACTAAGGGCCGCGATGTATCACTCATACCATCTGGCCTACTCAGTCTCAAATGGAGATCCGAGGTGCGTTGTCCGACGCTCCCTACCCGTTATGGTTTGTTTCTGAGAAAGCTAAACGATAGACCGATCTGTCCGAGGTGGCTGTGTCGTTAGACAACACACTTTACTTTAATTTCTGTTGATGCCTTCCGAAGGGCCTCCTTTATGATACTTATTGAACTAACAACCAGCCACTACAAGGAAACCCTGTCAAGAAATGACCATAGCAGTTCACATGGCACCAAACATTCAACAAACAACAAACAAACAAACAACATTATCCTAGTGTCATTATCTAAGAGTAAAAGTGAAAATTAACAAAATATGCGTAATATATTTTTCTTATTTGTGAAAATACTGTCATTTCCTATATTATCAGAGGTAAAGACACACAAAGAACTGCTTTGTGAATGGAAGACTAAGACTATCAAGTGTGACGCAGGGGAGACAGTTAAGATCATCTCGGCCTTTTATGGTCGTAAATCGAGGTCAGTGTGCCCCCATAGCAAGATAGGTAATCTGAATTGTAAATCCAAATCTTCCATGGTGAAGGTGAAAGAAGCTTGTGATGGAAGGAATACATGTGTCCTCTCGGCCTTTAACTCAATTTTCGGAGATCCCTGTGGAGGAACATTCAAATATCTGGAAGTCCAGTATGTCTGTATCAAGACTGGTAAGTTGATAAGTCTAAATATTCTGATATTGGAATATTACTGACAAAAAAAAAAAAAAGACCGCAAGCCAATGTATTTGTAACTTGTATATAGCAAATATTTATACAGAATGGGAACGTTGACATTTTGGACATTACAATTCTTCCTTAGATCATACTTCTGATCGTATCAGGCTAATTAAATTAAAAAAAAAACATGATGAGTAATGCTATTTCTTTTCAATTTCGAAGGACACTCAAAGGAAAAAAAGAATTCTAAAAAGAGTAAAGAGAAGCATTCTAAAGAGAAGTCACATTCCAAGAGCTCCGAATCCAAGGAAAAGAAACACTCCAAGGAGAGCAAAGAAACCAAGATGATTCCAAAGAAAGGTATGAAATTTTTTTTATAGAATTCATATCTATTGATTTCTACGCAGCCTATTAAATTTGATGCACAGTATTTGAATACAATTATGCAAGACTGTATTTCATCTCAAACTTTTATTTATAACTAGTTTAAGAAAGCTACTATTTCAAAATATTCCTATCCACGATCACCTGTTTTCTATGGTAAATTGCAAAACTGTCTTAATATTGGTACCTTGAGGTTTATTGGTAAATAAATGACATAAATTGAATTGTTTTCCTTTAATTTGATCTTGACAGCAAAATAAAGAGTAATGCTTGACGTAGCCGTCCGTCTGTCCATTTGAAAATAAAGCTTTTCCATCAGTATACAATTTTTCTGAAACTTGATACCTTTAGCAGTATACATATGCACTCCGATTAAGTTACATCTATCTCAGACTCAAATATACTATGTACATTTACCTCACAATCACCTGTATTTTTTAAGGGAAAACAAGAGTGCCGTGGACACAATATACGCCGCTACAAGATTTAAAGATCAAGATTGATCCTTTTAATTTACGTCTTTTAACATGTCTGTATCATAAATCTTACAAAAATCAATGAACCGTAAAATCGCCCCTTCATACACATCGAACCATTGCATTAGTGACATTGAGCAAGTTTTATAAAAATCTTATCATTAGTTTAGAAGGAGTTGCGTTCACAAAGCTCCACTAAGAGCAAGCTACAGCTACAAAGTTGAAAATGGCATAAATCTTGCAAAAATCAAAGAACAGAAAAATCGCCCCTTCATGCACATCTACCCATTGTAGTAGCGTTCACAAGAAATGGACGTACGGACGGACAGACGGAGAAGATGATGCCAATATACGACCGCCTCCGGCGGCGTATAAAAAATGATAATATTTTATATTATGCCATCCTATTGTTGTCTATTTTTGGCGAATAAGTCAGTCTCCAAATCATTCGGCATAAATGTGGTTATTCAACCGAAACTGTCTGCTTTGTTAAAAGCCTATAGTAGTATATTTTCGTTTGGTTGAGGATGTCAATAGAATAGAGATTCAACGGCTAGAAAATTTAAGTGTAGTTACAAGGTCACCTTCACCAGACAAATGACCACTGTGAAGCGTATTAGTACTGACGTCCACGGTACTACTCGAAAACGAGCAGAAACAGTTTTCGCACTAGAAAGTGTCTAGTTTCACGAACGGTTGTAATCTTTCGAAGTCGCCAAGAACAAGACCGGTCATGATGAAAAAACAACTATCCAAGATAATGCTTACTTCATGAAATTCACTTGTGATGAAGAAATCGATGGCACTATCCCATTAATTGATACCCTTTTTAGTTAAGAAGAGACTCTCGCACATATATAAACAAGTAATATACAAATTGTAACCGAACGAAGTATATTGCTACCGCCTCGTTTACATTTTTATAATCTTTTCACCAATCTTTTCTCGTCAAATTGTTTTTTATTTTAGTTTATATAATATGATAGATTACTTACCATCTTGTTCACTACGTATGTCATTGCTAGTACGCTTCACATTGGTCTTCTTTTGTCTGATGAAGGTGACCGTGTAGTCATCGAAACATCACACTTTAGAAAGAGACCGAACAGCGGCTGGATCGGTACGCTCGCCCGCCACATCTAAATCCGATCTTGCATGTGTGGAACTCTCTCTTTCTCTCTTTCCTTCTTTTTGTGTGCTAGAAATGTTCAGCCAAAGAGACTAGATAAATGGAAATGGAACGCTATCCAACAAAATATGAGTTGTATATCATGTTAGATTTAATAAATGTCTGCTGTTTCAAATATTATCAGAGGTGAAGACTCATACAGAAGTGCATTGTGAAGGGAGGATGAAGACTATCAAGTGTGACGCAGGGGAGACAATTAAAATAATATCAGCTGCTTACGGTCGTAAATCGAGGTCAGTGTGCCCTCATAGGCATATGAGGAATCTAAATTGTGAATCCAAGTCTTCCATGGTGAAAGTGAAAGAAGCGTGCGATGGAAGGGATACATGTGTCCTCGCTGCCTCTAACTCAGTTTTCGGAGATCCCTGTAGGGGAACATACAAATATCTGACAGTCCAATATGCATGCATTAATACTGGTAAGTCGATAAATGCTGACATTGGGATAATTCAGTAAAAGCGAAAGAGCACATGCCAATGTATTTCTAATTTGCATTAAGCAAATTCTACTTGTATTTTTAATATTGTCTTAAAGTTGTACTATCAAAAGTGTCCATAAACCGACAAACTGAAAAAATGCAATTAAGGTTTCATAGATAATACTTCCGATTTCATGGTATTTTATGATGGCTAAATTAATGAATAAATGATTAAATGAATTATTTAACTTATTAATGAATGGATGTTGGGGATTTCTTTTTTAGTTTTTCCCTCCTGGATCTCACCATTTTCTTTGATAAATATTGCAAATAGAGTTTCCAACATGAACGTATATTTCAATTGACAGGAGTTCGATATGTCCCTATTAAAACTCCGAAACAGAGAGGTCGCTATGTATACACTCACCTAAACAAGTACGGCTACAACGTCGGGGATACGAAGACATTCGAGTTCGAAGTGAAAGCCTGTAATGACGCACACGTCGCATTGATGGGAAAAACTGGTGAAAATGGAAAAGTTTATGAAATTGTCATCGGAGGGTGGTCAAACACGCTATCCGTAATCCGATCGCGAAAACAAGGTCCTAACCTATATTCTGGTCGAGGAAGACAACTGGAATGCCGTCAATATAGAAAGTTCAAGGTCATATGGAATAATGGAATAATAGTGGTACAGAGCTATGTCGGCAATGTTTGGAGAGCATTTTTGATTTGGAGAGATCCATCCCCAATGGAAATATTTTCTGTCGGAGTCAGTACTGGTTTATGGGCAACTGGTGAATGGAGGATTGCTATAAAAGGTATGGTAATTGAGATAAAAAAGAAAGAAAGTCATGTGTTAATTTTTTGGGTAAGCATAATTTTGTTATCATTTTGATACATACCAGAATAATTTTTTTTTTATAATGTTACCGCCATGAAATAAAACTAAATTACCACGGTAACTAACTGCAATTACTGAAGTATGAAATTAAATGTGAATCATCTTTCACCATATTTTTTCAATCATATAAATTTTGATTTAAGCAATTTTATCAGCAATGCATAATACCTTCTCTGACTATTTTTAATTAGTTGTTGCGTTCCGTTGTAAAATCCCAAGATACTTTTGCTTTTTCATTAGAAATGAAATTAGATGTCAGTCGCCGTCGCAATTAAGTTCGTCTAATTTTCCTGTTGTCTTTCCCCCATTAAGATGATGATACCTGCAACGGTAGAAAGTGCCATGCTAATGCTGTTTGTACACATGGACGATGTACGTGTACTCGTGGGTTTTATGGCGATGGATATAACAGCTGTGAAAGTAAGTCACGTGCAAATGTTCTACCCTCAACTCTTTTATCATAGTAGACCGATGTAAAAATATTCTGGAAATACCCAGTGACATTGTTATGTATTTCTCCTTTGTTGTTCATTAACATGGATAAGATCAAGTAGAGGCGATTACTCTTCACTGTCTAGTGACCGACAAAAACGGCACAATATAAAGAAAAATAATCAATGAAAAATATCTCGTTTATTTTGCTTTGATATATGATAGATTTAGAATAAACCTGTATGTATGGTACAGACTACTCTAACTTTATTTTGCATGTTATATATTAAATATTATTGTTTTCGGAATCGTGTCCGTCCCTACATAGCTATAATCTACATGATACAATTCTTTTCCTGTAGAATCCTGTTTATGTATGGCGTCAGGTGACCCTCATTACAAGACTTTTGACGGTCAGATGATTCACTTTATGGGTACGTGTAAATACACATTGACTCGCTCACTTGATCGGAAATCAAAATGTGCCTTCAACGTTGAGGTTAAGAACGAGAGAAGGGGTCGGAACACACGTGTGTCCTTCACTCGCTTCGTGGACGTGGAAATATACGGCAAGAAAATTCGTCTACAACAGAACAAGAAAGTCTATGTACGTATCTCCTGCTAGGTCATCGTTAATAATCTGTTATTTTGTGAGGTTTCAGACTGTAATTAAAGGTCTTGTAACACAACAAGTAGAACATTTGAGTGGGAGGTTTCAATGACTACAAGGGTCACCTTCATATGAGAAATGGCCGGTGTACTAACACTGACCTCCGTAGAATCGACCAACTTTTTCGGTTGTACTATAATCCTGCGTACACTTAGGTGAATAGTGTAACGAGGAGATGGTGGGCAGAATACAGACCAGAAAATGCATACACAAGATGGTAACAATGTACCGAAGTACACCAAGAAATTAAACAACAACATATGATGTTCAATGATAGTAAAATAGGTTGATAACATTTTCCAAGGTAAATACAGAATTAGATACAACAGAGAACAACCAATAATTATCTTAAATGTTACGAAGTATACATACTCCTGATAAAAATGGATTTGTTTTAGATTGACGCCGAAAAACGTTACCTGCCGGTAGATGATTTCAATGGTCAACTAAAAGTGACCTCCAGCGGCCGGTACGTTCAAATATGGACAGCATGCGGACTTTTGGTCAATTTTGACGGTGTGCATGCAGTCAGCGTGGTGGTACCAGCAACCTTCAAAAACAACATGACTGGGTTATGTGGCGATTGTGATGGGAAAATGAACGACTTCAAGACACGTGACGGACGTGACGTCACCAATGAAAGATCGCGGTACAATCTTATTGGAAACAGTTTTAAAGTTGAAGAATCAGGCCCTTCGTCAAATTCAAGGTATGCTCCACACTTAGTACATGCACGTGTTTATAACCTGTTGAACTCTGACTTTTTTTAAAGAAAACATATTTCAGACACTTTGCAATATCACATCCGCCGAAATAATTTATTCATCTCTGAAAAATTATAATAATCAAATGCTTAAATATGACGTAATGTTAAATATCATATGTTCAAATGAGCAGGAGTATAATTAATAACAAATTGATGTATATAATTCCTAATTCGCTTTCAAACCAGAATAATAACACAGCTGCAGACGGTACAATGTATATACGATAACTTCACAAATTAACCAGGTGTGTTCCTGTGGTCCAAGACACCCCGGAATGTGACCCATCATTAGCCAATCGTCTTAACAAACGTGAATACTGTGGTGAGATCACAGAGAAGACCGGACGGTTTGCAAAGTGCATAAGCAGATTTCCTATTCAAGCCAAAGGTTTTTTCGACAGTTGCGTATTTGATCTTTGTTCATTCCAAGGGGAACCACACAAGATGGCAAAGGTTAGGTGCAATGCTGTTGAAGCATTTGCAGAGGAGTGTGAAGAAAATGGCATTATTGTGAAATGGAGGAGTAAGGAATTTTGTCGTGAGTATTTTCATTTTGAATTTGGAACTCTCTCAACAAACTCTCCTCGTGTACTTAATTGGTATAAGCTTCTTATTCATACAGAATGTATTTTCATTTAAATTAGATGAAGACATTGAATGTATATTTTTACTAATGATTCATTTATGAGAACAAAATATCGGTCAGCAACGAAAGAGAATATACTTTTAGAACCATCACGCAGAACGAATAGTTTAGTCACACGTACAAACCACATTTTCTTCAAATTACCAGGATCAGCATTACTTAGGTTATGCATTGAAATTTAGGATTAAATAAGCATTGACTGATAAGAATATTATTGGGGTTCCTTTTTCCATGATGCAATAATTTATGATTTTACTAGCACTTACATGTGACGACCCAAATATGGTGTACAAGGCCAATGCCTCAGGATGTCCCTCAACGTGTGTTGATCCCGAGGCACCATCTAGCTGTACCCTAGAACCACGTGAAGGATGTGAGTGCAAAGATGGATATGCCCTTAGTGATGGCAAGTGCATCTCTCTAAGCCAGTGTGGTTGTGTAGACTCAGAAGGTGCATACCTCCCAGTGAGTAGTATTGGTATATCTCTGTCAGGTAATACACCAACAAGTATTCATTAATTCATGTCAAAAATTAGTAAAGGCTGCAATCGAGAGTAGCTGAAGATCGAAGAACATTTATGCCGCGGAGGAAAGGAAATATTCAATGTAATAAATTATCAGGTGAAATTGTGCAACGTATGAACGGTTCAACTGAAATGTCCGTGCTGGCACTTACTATTAGCCCATGCGTTAAAAAGTATATTTATACTTGCCCCTTCCTATGGTGTTTTCACATCGCAGTTCATTCGATATTTAAAGTTCTGTTCCACTTATCAGTTTTCGTGCAAGAAGTCGTAAACTGACAGACAAACTCGTAACACAGGGTTTCAAAAGACACTGCTCGATGAAAATTAAGGGGAATTAAAGGTCTATGGTCGTCATAGTGGTCTCATTGTGAACTGTTATTTCTTTGTGCGATTGCGATAAGAAGCTATAATTGTTTGGTGTCCGTTAGCTTGCCTATTGGTTCCGTTGTCGTATACTCTTTTTTCTCATTTGAGGACGTGAAATTGCTTACTCTGACTGACTCTGATTTACATGGCGGGTGTCGTCGATGAAGCAGAAGATGCGAACTCTTATGATTATGTTGACATGTTGGCATTTTCTTGTTGTTTTCCTTACACAATAATATATGTTTTTATAGTTTCCATGAAGAGCCACTGTAGAGAGAAAGTCCGAAGGAAATCTTCTCTACTTGTGTTTTCTATAATTTATTCCTGCACGAGGATTTTATTTATAATTATCTTCTCCTATACTATATTTTTATATCGATGAGATACGACAATCACCTGTCTAAATCACAGGATAATGAGAAGTTCACCATGTTATAACAACACCAATTCTCCTAAATGATATTTTTATATCAACCCAATACGACATTCACCTGTCTAAATCACAGGATAATGAGAAGTTAACAATATAATAACAACACCAATTCCACGTATTTCAGTTGCATGCACGGAAACGTTCCCGGGATTGTGGTACAGATTACTTGTGTAGCCGAATTGGACTCAACAGTAAGTTAGTTCCAGTACGGTCTAGTCAAAAGTGTCACAGGAGAGCTCAGTGTGCACTCGACAGTAGTGGAGAACGTAGGTGTGTTTGTAACCCTGGTTACGAAGGAGATGGCTACAACAACTGCAATCGTACGTATTATTGTAATTCTGATTAAAAACCCGACAGACTTAAATTCACTCGTAGATATCTTAAATAAATTGATGTCTAATAATTGATTAATAATGTAGTGACAGAAGTTATAAAAAATCCGATTGATTTTAAACAAAACAAACAGATAAATTGTATTTCTTTATATTAAAGAATTGAATGCAGTTAATATATAATATGAGGTAATAATGTTTCATTTTGTTGTATGTGTTGACCTTCTTTTTAGCTTTGTGTGGAATGAAGTACAAATGCCATGCTCAAGCCAAGTGTCGTAATGGCAGGTGTAAATGTAACCGTGGGTTGTCTGGTGACGGCGTTAGAGAATGTAAAGGTGAGAAATCAGATATAAAAATCATATACTACTCACAATTTGATAGGGATCACTTTTTAATGTGTAACGGTATCTATTTTAAGAATATATTCTACAGTTCAATTTATACATATTTCGGCATTATAAGATGAAGATTTAACAACAACAAGCGAAGAATAACAGTGTTAATTTGCTTCAATGCTCATTGTACATAGATACCCCGAAAATCGCAAATTACGACAAAAGGGGCGAAAAATTAAGTCCTACGAAACAGTGTCGTTCAGCGAAAAATACAGTGTTAGTATAGAGTATAACGTCCTCGAGCATCAATTACGCTCTGGCAGCGGCGGCGCATGCTTCTGATCAAGTCTCGTATCCGGTTTTGGGGAATACTGGTCCATTCAGCGACGAGAGCTGCTTGAAGTTCCTGAAGCGCTCTAGAACGGATGTTTCTCGCCGAAACAGCGTTCAGAAGCAAGTCCCACACGTGTTCTATAGGACTGAGATCTGGAGATCGGGCTGGCCAGTCCATCCTCTCAATTGTTTCCCTTTCCAGATACTGTTCCGTCACACGAGCTCTGTGTGGTCGCGCATTATCGTCCATAAGAATGAATTCCGGATCTATAGCACCAGCATAAGGCCTGATGTACACGTCCAGGACTTCGTCACAGTACCTCTGTGCAGTCAAACTGCCATCAAGGAACACATGAAGGTCGGTCTTGCCTTGCATGCTAATGCCACCCCAAACCATAACAGATCCACCACCGTATCAGTCATGTTGGGAAACGTTAGCGGCATGGAACCTCTCATTTGGTAGTCGCCACACCCTGGCACGTCGGTCAGTGAAATCTAAGCAAAATCTAGACTCGTCTGCAAAAACTACGGGGGACCAGTCATGGAGGTTCCAATTCACATTATCACAAACTCAAGCAAGTCTAGCTTGAACATGTCGTAACGTCAAAGGAATTCTCACAGCAGGTCTGCGCAACCTTAAACCAGCATCATGAAGTCTATTTCTCAAAGTTTGTGAGGCGATACGAGTTCCGGTGGCATTCTGGAAGTCATTACGCGTTGATGAACCTTTGACGTCGAGCTGCAATAACAAGATAGCGGTCTTGACGCTGCGAGGTAAGTCATTTCCGACCCCCACAATGTCTTCTGGAGACAGTTCCATAATTTTGGTAACGATTCCACATACGGGACACAACACTCTGGGACACACCAAGGTCATTGGCCACCTCCCTTTGTGGCGTACCAGACTGGATCATACCAATGCCCCTGTCCATATCTGAAGTGCTTAGACGTCTTCTAGCCTGCTGTCGGGGCATTTTGAAACCATTAAAATTCAAAATGTAAAGCAAAAAGCGAGATATTCTGCCACAAACGCATTGATGACAATCAGCACGTAGGAGGCTCGTGCGTATACACGTGAAGTGTAGGCGTTACGGGTGACTGACCACATAAACACCCGATACACTTAGACCTCGGTGCAGATATAAACCAAGAAATATAAGGAATACGTATAATTTTATTTTAAAAGAAAATTAAGCTACTTATTAGGTGTGATCCCGATCAAATCGTGAATAGTATATTTATTTCCTTTGATACGTAAGTCCATTACTTTTGACACTATTCCTAGAGCATAGGTATCTGTGAACGAGCTTTATTTTGTATCTACTGAAACAGAAACATTCTCTTCCAACATCACGACAAGAAATGAAGAGGGTTAAGATTCACCCATCCACAAATAATCAAGGGATAGAGACTGATTCTTAATAAATAAGTTATAAATTGTATAATAGAACTAACTGAAATTACAGCATAATAAATGAAACTAATCTGGGTAAAGTCTACATCTTGCTTCATATGTTATCTGAAGTTTGCATTTTGTCACAGAAACTCCGGAGTATGGTCATCAGTAACATTAAACTAATTGTGGATTTTTTCTACTCTGTCTAATCCTAAATTTATGTTTGAAAGGTGCTACCTAGTTGTTAGTCGTTTGTACAATCTTTACAATCTCTCTTTTCTCCAAACCTGCTATTTTAACGGTATCGTAACTTTGCTATATATCGATCTAAGAGGAAAAAAGTCCTTCATATATGTTAGTAACAACACATATTGGTCTCAATTATTCTTCCTTCACAGAATAACAAATGACAGAATTTCGGATAACAAAATTGCTAATGTATCTTGGCTCAGTTTCTTGTTTAAACAGCTTTGCTTATATTGGCTACACGGCAATGTTTTTAAAGTCTGGTCTAAATATAAGCCGAATAAAAAATTCTTCATTTGAATATTTGTCATAACTACAAATGACATATCCGGACACGGGTTTCACCATAATCTACCACGATTCGTCATAATGACACGTGACATATCCGGACACGGGTTTCACCATAATCTACCACGATTCGTCATAATGACACGTGACATATCCGGACACGGGTTTCACCATAATCTACCATGATTCGTCATAATGACACGTGACATATCCGGACACGGGTTTCACCATAATCTACCACGATTCGTCATAATGACACGTGACATATCCGGACACGGGTTTCACCATAATCTACCACGATTCGTCATAATGACACGTGACATATCCGGACACGGGTTTCACCACTATCTACCACGATTCGTCATAATGACACGTGACATATCCGGACACGGGTTTCACCATAATCTACCACGATTCGTAATAATGGCACGTCACATATCCGGACACGGGTTTCACCATAATCTACCACGATTCGTCATAATGACACGTGACATATCCGGACACGGGTTTCACCATAATCTACCACGATTCGTAATAATGACACGTGACATATCCGGACACGGGTTTCACCATAATCTACCACGATTCGTCATAATGACACGTGACATATCCGAACACGGGTTTCACCATAATCTACCACGATTCGTAATAATGACACGTGATATATCCGAACACGGGTTTCACCATAATCTACTACGATTCGTCATAATGACACGTGACATATCCGGACACGGGTTTCACCATAATCTACCACGATTCGTCATAATGACACGTGACATATCCGGACACGGGTTTCACCATAATCTACCATGATTCGTCATAATGACACGTGACATATCCGGACACGGGTTTCACCATAATCTACCACGATTCGTCATAATGACACGTGACATATCCGGACACGGGTTTCACCATAATCTACCACGATTCGTAATAATGGCACGTCACATATCCGGACACGGGTTTCACCATAATCTACCACGATTCGTAATAATGACACGTGATATATCCGGACACGGGTTTTACACCAGTTTATCTAATCCAGACATCACATGTCAAACCTTAACAGTCCGTTCAGGTCACAACAATGCTTCTTTTCCATTTTGATTTGTAACAGAGTTACAATTCAGAATATGTCATGAATGCAGCTACATTTAATGCAGTGATATTCATAAAAAAATTCAAAAGCTTTTGATAAGAAGAGTGTTTTCACTTGAATGGCGAACTCACGGACTTCGCATTAACGAAAACAGTATTTGTAATCTACCATGCTCATGAAAGGCAATAAAACACTCTTTCTTAATTAATGTAACATTTTCATTAAATGAAGCAAGGTTATATTTGCTTGAAGAATAGTCAACCCCCACTTCCCTGCATAAAATAAATCACTGGGATTTTTTCTTGTAGAGATGTGCACGTGTTCCGCTAGTGGCGATCCTCACTATAGGACATATGACGGTCAGATGATCCACTTTATGGGAGTGTGTAAGTATACTCTGACGGAGACAACGAAGGAGAAAGATCCTTGCAAAATCTCGGTCTTAGTGTCTAACGAACGTCGCGGTAGGAACAGAAGAGTGTCCTTCACTAAGTCAGTCATCGTTAATGTGTACGGCACGAGAGTTGTCATGAAGAAGGACAGACATGTTTTCGTAAGTTATGTGTTTTGATACATACTATAAAATGATTTCACCGTGTAATTATGTTCACGTAGAAGGATTGCGCCGTTACTGTTGATATACCTCAAGCAGAACTCAGTGTTGTTTATGTATACCAGAAACTGACGCAACGAGTTATACACTTACGGAACTAGCGAAAACCTATATAAATAAGAAACAATCCCTAGCTGATAAAGTCAAACCAGATAAAGTCAAATAAAAAATAACTTGATCAAATTGTATTTCAAAACGACATCGAAACCATGAAGAAACCTATTACTTTGGTATTCTCTGATTTTGAATTTTTCAATTTATTTTACGTGAGATTTTCGATGCCATTTGATGCTACTGATGACTATAGGCAGATTGGTCCAAGCTGACGACAATGTTATTTACTTGATTGCGATGTGCAAAATAATCGCCACGGTCTTATTGTGAACGCATATTTTATCTGTCTGTTGCCTTATGATATTTACACAGATCGACGGTCAACAAAAATACTTACCTATTAGGGAGAAGAGCGGAAACTTGACCATATTCAACAGTGGGAGATATGTGCGTCTTACGACCGCTTGTGGACACAGAGTATCATGGGACGGAAAATCTGTTGCTCGTGTCTCTGTTCCAAAGTCATACGAGCGAAAATTGACCGGTATTTGTGGAGACTGCAACGGTAAGAGGGATGACTATAAGACTAGGACCGGACAGGATGTCTCCAAGGATAAAAGAAAATACTCCATGATTGGGAAAAGCTATACTAAGGGACGACGGTTTACCGACGGATCGGACAGGTGAGATTTAAAGCAATACATATTGAGATAACAGTACGGAGAAAGCAGAGAAAGGAAAATCAGATGTGACAATTTTACTGATTGAATTTAGATATTTCTAATATTAAATACAATACCAATGGACTTTTATGTCGTTCATCCTCAAACAATCACACACCAATGGACGTTTCAGTCACATGAGTTTGCCATCAAAGTCTCTTGAATAAGTTAAGGTTTTATTTCATATAGCTAATACTTTTTATAGCAATACATTGCATACGATATATTGTTAATTCAGATAACATTATGCTTAATTGTCCCAATTTTACTTATTTCTCCTCTGACGTCACAGCTGTGTCACAACTGAGGACGATGTTAAATGTTCTAAAGCTATGGCGCAGAGTGCTTCAAAGGGAGACCAATGTGGTTTTATTAATCCCAAATTTGGAAAGTTGTCTCCCTTCAACGACTGTATTAAGGAAAACCCGGGTATGGCTGCTGAACTCTTCAACGCATGCGAATTTGATGTTTGTGCTTACTTCGACGACCCGACTACCAGACAAGATGCTATATGCAGATCAATGGAGGCTCTTGAAGCAGAATGTGAAATGAGAGGATTCAACGTAAAATGGAGAAGTTCAAATTTCTGTCGTGAGTGTAACAAATTTTTTTTATAAAAAATATGGGAAAACATTTTACGCGCGTTTTTGTAAACGGATTAATTAACAAGATGAATATCACAATGGATGCACTGCTAAAAAGAAGATCGGAGAGTACAACATTTAAGATCTTTTGTTTGATTAGCATGGCAACCTGCTCAAACACTATTCCATTTACTACATTAGCATTTCCCATCTCTTATTGCCTTTATAATACATTTTCATGCCTATATGTTTAATGTTTGTATAGGATTTCGAACCAAGAATCAGCGATAATTGTTTTCCTCAAAACTTTAAACATTCACTGTGGCCAACATTTTTTATTGCGTACCTGTTATTCAACACTGAATTCTGTTCCATCCAGCGATAACTTGTCCGAAGAACATGCGTTATAGCGCTGCCGTATCAGGATGTCCTGCCACGTGTATGATGCCGAATTCCGAGCACAACTGTGTATTGGAGGATACTGAAGGATGTGAATGTCTTCCTGGTTTCCTCCTCAGTGGTACAGAGTGTGTTCCTCAAGAGAAGTGTGGCTGTCTCACACCTAAGGGTGACTATTTCCCGGTAAGCAATATTTCTTGTTAAAAATAAGGTCTTTAAAAATGCTATAAGAAGTCCGCCATGGCGATCTAGTTTCCGAGAGATCAGTTGATTACAAAACAAGTGATAACAGACCATACAGAACATTTTTCTATATCCATAAAGCTTGGAACCACATTTGTGTCTGAAGACTGCACTACGGTGACTAAGTGCACCAATGAGAATGGCGAAGCGATACTGGAGCGTGTTGCCATCAATCGGCGGTGTCACAAGGACGGCATGTGTGGGTTGGTTGAAGGACGTCCTCAGTGCACGTGCAAGGATGGTTTCCATGGTGACGGAATAAAGTCATGTCTGCGTTAGTATATATATGGTTTTAATATATATGTGAAGTTGCGAATCACATTTATCTTAACAAAGGTAAAGTAGAAAGCAATGCTATTATGCTTGATATATTATGTCACTACAGCAACCAATTTTGTCAACGAAACCACAAACATTTTATTGATAATACGATGGCATTGAGAGAAAAATAGACATTGTTTTGCTTGTAAGGGTTAGAATTATTAAGTTTTCAAATATACACGGAACATATTACCTAGAACCGTTGGTTGCGTATTTAGGTACAATACGTCGATGTTTTGGTTAGATAGAATACAGTGTATACTTCACGGACAACATTGTCTTTCAACGTTATGTTTTCCTCATTTAACACTGGAGATACCACCACGTAATATGAATGAATGTGTAGCTTTGTTTGAAATTTGACATAAAACTCCCGACAGCCGTTTTGAAGCGTAGTCTGGTGGCTACCTTATTGAACAGAATGCGAAAATCCAAGCCTCATGCCATCAAGATCGACAAAAGTGTCTTGCCCGAGGTTGCATAAGGATACAAGCATGACAGCACAGGATGAACTCGGGGGGAAATGTGCCGGATAGGGATTGTATCAAATATCTTCATATCTACCTGTGCTTGCAATATCAGTTGCAATTTCTATTGAGCTATCGCGCCAATCTCGACCCCCGTACACCCAATTTGTGGTTTTTTGATCAGAATTTATATATCGTCAGTTTAGGTTCTGAGATGATGTTATTTAATGTGAAATATCGGGACAAGTTAAAATGTATGTCACTGTAAACATATTACTTCAGCGCGATCAAATTAGAACACATTACCAATTTTCAACAACTTAGTGAAATGACTGAATTTGGAAAATCGCAGTTATTGCTATATAAACGACACCGAGAAACTAAACGGGCAATCGTACCTAGCACAGTTTGTGAAAGGAAATATTGAGAATAAGATTATCGCTGAAATATGTATGTTTATAGTAATCAAAATTACACATTAAAAAGAAAAATAAATTGTTGTGAATGTAATGGAGATGGTAGAGTTACAATTAATTACCATCAAAACCATCATTTGTTTTGTTCAATTCAAGCCATGTGTGGGGGACGTTACAAGTGTCATGAGGACGCAACATGCCAAAACGGAGAATGTGTCTGTAAGTCAGGAAAATACGGCGACGGAATCAATATGTGTTATGGTAGGTATTTTGACTTCATTCTCAAAAACTGTTTCCACAACAGTGTAAACAGATTATGTATGCCATTCTTCGGTACAAGAACTGCTGCTGTTTCTAATTAGCCAATTTCAATAAAAGGATTCAAAATATTTAAAAAACAAACTTTTCTTTTGCTTCCGTTTTAGATACATGCGTTTGCTCTGCTTCTGGCGATCCCCATTATCACCTGTTCGACGGTCAAACAGTCCATTTTATGGGAATATGTAAATATTCATTGTCTAAATTGAGCGGCAACGAGACGTGTGCATTTGATGTCCAAGTTAAAAATGAACATCGTAACAATCTCAAACATGTGTCTTTCACTCGAATGGTGGATATAAAAATTGGCCAGGTCTCTGTCAAACTCCTGAAGGGGAGAAAATTACAGGTAAGTCGTATGTGACAATAGACTTTGGTCTATTTTACTTCTTTCGTATGTGGATTAATAAGTAATACGTCCTTGGAGGATTTCTGTCTGCTGAGATTTTGATTTTATATATATATATTCAACGAGTTTGCTTGTTTAACGATGTTGAAATTTGATAAAAAATCAAATAAAAATGAAAAAAGTACAGTGAGTTCGCATCAGATGTCACTTCAACATTATTATTACAGTCGTGATCGGGTGCCATGACAACGATGAAATCCCCATAATTCTATCGTAAAAAAAACCAAAAACACCCGAAGTCTGACTTTAATCAAACGCGAACAACACATCTCATGAAAATTTCTGTCTACGACATTTTTAGATCAATAAATGTCTAATATTTTTCATTTCATATTTCGACTTCTAATATTACTGAAACGATTGATTCCATGTGATTTACAACATTATACAATAAAGGATTAGCAGTGTAGATTTGTAGTAGTTATTTCTGTAGTTTGGAAAAGAAAGAGCACTTTTGATTGGTTGTTTGAAAGAAGGCATTTCATTAGATGGGTAGTCGTATAAATAGAGGTTCCACCAGACGAAAAGCTCTCTCTCGGATGCTGACAGACGAACGTATAGGATCTCTAGCTGAAAATAAAAGGTAACAGTGACCAAGATGAAAAAGTTTGGGCCTAGTTGAATAAGTTAGGGCTCCACTGTAATCCTTTAAAATCGGAACCAATAATTCTTACACGTCTTATACAAATGTACAAAGTCACGGTGGATCACAGTACAGGGTAATGTGTAGTTGATCAGGTACAGTGACAGGGTACTGAGGCACAGGTTTTGCCGAGACACAGTGTATAGCTGACTTGGTCCAAGTGGTTGAGGCAAAAGGTGACGCAGTCAATGCACGTGTGTCGCGGTGAAGGCTGACGTGGTCAAAGTGTGTCACGGTCAAGTTTGTACAGTCACGGGTGTTGTGGTAAAAGGTTAATTATTGACTACCGACACAGGGTGGCGGGTATATATGTGATATAGTGTTTTAATTGGTATTGAGACTCTATACATGTCAGTGTTAAGGTGCAATAAATGTTAGTCATCTACCGGGTGTAGTTTAGAGTATAGTTATTGAATTCGTATAGTTTATATCATTATTTGAGTCAGGTAGACAGGCCAGTATTTTGTATATATATTGTGGGCATTTTACTATTTGTTAAACAGTTACTGGGTCCAAGATAGAACTTGGTAACGAACTGACAGTACGCATCCGTTACATTACTACTAATATTGACAGATAAGCGATGACGTTTTCTCCATACTTCGCTCCATTTTCCTGAATCAATGAAAACTAAACACATTTTTTCACGGTCGTTTTTGAGTGGAGACGATGAAAGGTGTTGTACATTCTTTAAACTTCTTTTTAAAAATTGAAATATTGAGTCGATTTTGATAAAGTAATTGTCTTGTCGTGAAATTTGCATTAATAAATTGATTTGTCACCGTAAAACGAACCTTAACTTGAAGAAAAAAGTTAAATCAACCATTAATTGCCTCCACGTTATCTAAAAGTAAATTTATATCCAGCAGTTCTGATTTTTTACGTAAAAGTATTCCTTTTTCGCAGGTTGATGACGTGCTAGTGTATACTCCATATGAAGATACCAAAGGACGATTCGCAGTTGTAACCAAGGGCAGATACATCACGTTGATCAGCAGATGTGGCCTCGTTGTTACGTATGACGGCATTCATGCTGTTAGTGTTGTGGTACCACGTGACTTTGGAGAAAATCTTACTGGAATCTGTGGAAACTGTAATGGGAAAAAAGATGACTTTAAAACTAAAAATGGTCGTGATGTTTCGAAGAGTCCAAACAAGTTCCAACGCATAGGGAACAGCTACGAAGTGACAGATACTTCTGACGGAGCAGATAAAAGGTAAGGTAGATCCTAGAAAACTTCCAACAGAAAAGGCGGTTTAGATCCAGATAGTTACAAGTTATAGTAACAATCATCAGTTAATCTTCCAATGTGATGCCAGAAAATTTGTACTCTCGAAAAAGGCTGAGCAGTTATGAAAATTTATTTTATTTAAATGGCACGCTATTGAAAAAGTGAATACATTATAGTATGTGGATTGATGTTTAGATAGTAAATTATCTGAAATAATCAAATATGACATATAACAAATATATATTTGTATGTAACAGTTGTAAAACCGAGGAAGTGATAACGACTTGTACAAAGGAATGGGAAAGGCGTGTCAAATCAAAAGACTTTTGTGGGAAAATTCTTGACAAAAAGGGTTTGTTTGGTCATTGTGTGAAAAAACAGCCAAAATCCGCTTTGTCCTTCTTCGCTTCCTGTTGGATGGACCTTTGTGCTACACAAGGTGACGAAGTACTTGCTATGAAGCTGATGTGTCAGTCTCTGGAGGCGTTTGGAGACAATTGCCAGGTCAACGGTCTGATCAATAGGCCATGGAGAACAATGAACCTATGTCGTATGTATATGTACAGATTTGCTATAAGTATTCACTTTTATATATCAATCAAAGCCATCGTCATGCTAACAGGATACATTTGTAAAGGACGGACTTCAACAGAAATATATTCTTTGACATTACAATAGCTCAACAATCAAAATTAAACTTTGTGTTACAGTCGCAGAAGGTATCAACTATATACCTTACCTACTACCTCTACTACGCTGTTCATGACTGTAACAGCTGAACTTAAGATAAATTATTCATCCCTTATCTTTTCGGAACACTTTCATTGTTTTTATTTTTGAGCAAAGCTGACATTTGTTTTTTTAATTTTAACCCTCGACTTATTAATTCAATGAATAACGTTTCCTCTTTTTTGGTCGGTATAATCCGTATATTTAATGCATTACTTGTAAAAAATTCTGTTTAGTTCAGGTTTATATCTTAATACTTTGGTTAAACTACTAACAAGCTTTCTATTTTCACAAACAGCCCTACAATGCTCCACATTTGAGGTGTACAGTCCAGCCATTGTGGGTAATCCACGTACCTGTGAGGATCCGGACGCGTCTGCGTCCTACCCTCTCGCTCCAGTGGAGGGATGTACATGTAGGGAAGGTTACGTTTTGAGTGGAGACACATGTGTCAGACAGAGGGACTGTGGATGTTTCTATAACAGGGAGTATTTTCCAGTAGGTTTCGTCATGTTAATACTAATATAAATCAATATTAATATGTTGTTCAGATGTCGATTGATATAAATATACATTTACTGTTATAACAATTATATCAATTGACTAGATTATATCCGTAAAATGATATACAAATTACCGTGGTATTTTCCAATTCCAATACTCATCATACATATTATTATCACTGTTTACATAGGACAGTCAAATTAAATCTATTTCCATTTTACGTCGCTACCGGGTGTTATAAAACACACTATTACAGTCACGATAAAGGGTTGCTTTTGGTCCGTCCGTAAATTGCCTGTTTACGCCTGGATTTAAATGTTGCTTTCGTTCCCTCCTCATAATGTCTGTTTCGACTCGAATATTAATATAATTACTGTAAGTGTAATTTTGTTAAAATATCTGCCCTAAAAGGGACCCATTTAACTTAAAACAGCAACTTTGATAGTACCTGTTTACATTCTACCGTTCAATGATGAAATACATTCACTTTATGTTTGGAATATAATTTGTCCTATTGGATATTATTTCTTTCTGTCATAAAGACAAAAACGAGCAATTACTGTATATACAATTCAGGTAGAAAAGGTAAAAGCAAATGATTTGTAATGAACTAAGCGACGCCTAATGTTGTTTCAGCTGAATGGGACGGGACCTTTGACAAATTGTGACCAAGTACAGAAATGTGTTATCAAGGACGGCTTAAACCTTATGGAAGTCGCAGAGAGACGTCTTAACTGTCGCAAGAATGCTGAATGTAGAAATGTAGATGGGGTTTACAAGTGTCAGTGTTTGGAAGGTTTTACGGGAAACAATGACACCGGCTGTAAGGGTAAGTATTTTATGTCGGGACTTTTACAGGAAACAGATACAATGACTGTAAGGGCAAGTATTGTATGTCGGGAACTTTACAAGAAACAGTTATATTGGCTGTAACTGCAAGTATTGTATGTCGGGAGCTTGACAGGAAACAGTTACACTGGCTGTGAGGGTAAGTATTGTATGTCGGGAGCTTGACAGGAAACAGTTACACTGGCTGTAACTGCAAGTATTGTATGTCGGGAGCTTGACAGGAAACAGTTATACTGGCTGTAAGGGCAAGTATTGTATATCAGGGACTTTACAGGAAACAGTAATTCTGGTTGTATGGGTAAGTATTGTATATCGGGGACTTTACAGGAAACAGTTACACTGGCTGTAAGGGTAAGTATTGTATGTCGGGAGCTTGACAGGAAACAGTAATTCTGGTTGCATCGGTAAGTATTGTATGTCGGGGACTTTACAGGAAACAGTTACACTGGCTGTAAGGGTAAGTATTGTATGTCGGGGACTTTACAGGAAACAGTTACACTGGCTGTAAGGGTAAGTATTGTATGTCGGGGACTTTATAGGAAACAGTTACACTGGCTGTGAGGGTAAGTATTGTATGTCGGGGACTTTACAGGAAACAGTAATTCTGGCTGTATCGGTAAGTATTGTATGTCGGGGACTTTACAGGGAACAGTTACACTGGCTGTGAGGGTAAGTATTGTATGTCGGGGACTTTACAGGGAACAGTTACACTGGCTGTGAGGGTAAGTATTGTATGTCGGGAGCTTGACAGGAAACAGTTACACTGGCTGTAAGGGTAAGTATTGTATGTCGGGGACTTTACAGGAAACAGTTACATTGGCTGCTAATGTTGACATGGAATGTCGAGAGAACTTGACAGTATAATGTAATATTGGCTGCTAAGGTTATCATTGTATATCGTGGAGCTTGACAGAAAACACTGGTTCCGTAATAAGCGTCATGATTTCGATTTCCCTATTGTAATTTTTCAATCTCAGGAGAGCAATATTGCAATGATTACTGAAGAGTCGTCTTTACATGATTCTGCATTTTGTCCTCCCTAAAATTTGTGATCAGTTAAAAACTAATCGATGTTTATCGTTCATCTTTTTGTGTATTGTAAAATTGTACTTTCAATCATTAAATTATTTTGCCGTGGCTGACAGGAAAAGTATGTATATTTTCAGTATAATGGAATACATATCAATGCATTCCATTATCGTCATTTTCACTGATTCTTCACATCGTTAGTTTTCTATGTTTCATTTCTTCAGAAACTAAAGTTAAGAAACCAACATCACGAAAACCTATAACTGAACCAACACCCAAACCAACAGACAAGCAAACACCAACACAAACGGACAAACCCACTCCAAAACCAACGGACAAAACCACTCCAAATCCAACGGACAAATCCACTCCAAAACCAACGGACAAACCCACTAAAAAACCAACGGACGAATCCGCTCCAAAACCAACGGACAATGCGCAAACACTGAAAACAATTCGTCCTTCCCTTCCATCAGCGCCACCAGTGACGACGAAACAGATATCAACTCCAAAGCCTAAACCGCCATCAAGACGACCACAGTATGGTAAAGTATTGTTTACGTTGTGAAGTGTGAAGAAATATAGTTATAAATAGAAAAAAAGTAGATATCAAATGCAGTTGTTTGTTTAGATAATGATATCGCTATAAGGGTGAAGAAAAGAAAAGATCACTAATTTTCAAAAATGCATTGACTATTAGATCATTGTTTTATTATTAAAAATCATGCAAAATTATATATTATTTAACATTATTAGATGTGCTCGGTTTTGTTTTTATTTAAATAAATTAATATGCTTATGATATACGAAATTAGTTTTTTTAAATATGATTTTATTCAAACGTGCACATATTTGTACTGGTTAGTATTTCGATAAAGAGTTGTATAGATGTTATTTCTAGTTCACATTGCTAGGTCCCTTTGTTACATCAAATAAATTATTATTTCATCTATAAATTTTAATGACTCTTGTAAGAATTTGCTGACAGTATGCATTATTACATAATTTTACACCATAATCTATTGTACTCCTTACTAGCACACGTGTTAGCGTTTACATATTGGCCGTGTTAGAATCGATCTTGTGAAAATAATTAACAAAAAAAAGTATTTTTCATGTTTCTTTATTTTGCAAAATACTCTTCAAACTGACATGTTTGTCAAAAAGCAATATAATGTGCTAAAAATCTGATGCAAATTACTGTTTTATGGCAGTTCCCTACAACCAGTGCGAAATAAGCATGACTCACCGATCGTGTGGCAGTTCACTAACACTGACGGGAGCCTGTCGTTACAGGTCCCAGTTTACTAACCAGTGTCGTTACTCTGTTCTCATGCTCAAGTTGGGAACAAAAATATTCGCTAAGGTATCCATCAACAGAAGGGTGCGTATCCTACGGCATGGCAGGAGTTTCAGAGATTGTGCATCATTTAAAATGATCAACTCCACTATCACTATTACAGACAACGTCTGCGAGAAGTGTACATTAGAATTCATCAGGAATCTGACTCCTCGAAACTCTTGTAGAGGTTTGTTGTTTTCATTAAAGATTGTGAATAATAACACTTTAGCGATGCACAGTGATCACGGAAAGATTCGCTTTGAATTTTATTCTCGCTTCTTACAATGAACGAAGATTCATCGCAACTTAAAAAATTATGTTCGTTGATCTAAAATGTAAAATACCTTTAACGTTTTTATACTTTTTTCGATGAATGTCTTTGGTTTCATTTTTCAGCTCCATAAGGCACAGTTTTCACTGATTGGATACAACGCTACATAAACGTCACCACTGAAAGTGCTGTTTGATTGGATATTAAAACGCTGATATACTAAGGCGATGTTGTTTGTGTCTTAAATAACAAGCTTATAACAAGGAGTCCTACTGATTCCTTTCAACTGGAATTATGTCTCGTTGTATGTCGCCTCTCTGTACACTGAGTGACTGTTCCCAATGTCACGAAATTCAGCAACTGGAAAAGTCAAGAAAACAATACAAAAAATTGTACAAATGACACACAAGCACTCTTAAATACAAATTTAGAGTTACATACAGTAGGGACAATGAATTACAATGTATCACTCAGAACCGTGGCAATGTTCGAATGAAGTAAAACGTGACGTAATTAACAAATATAAAGAAGAAATAAATATTGAACAAATCAAATGCTGTAACCCTTTCTCGCCTAAAGAACACTTTACTACAATTTCCAAATGAAATGTAATCCATTCTCTCATATGCCAGTTATGACAGGGAAATTGCAATGCAACTTAGTGTGAATTAAGGAAATTAAAAAGTAACAACGGAATGACATGGGTTACATTATCCGGAAGTAAACCGAAACAAAATATATCACGTTGCTTTCATCAAGTAAATACATAAATCATATACTTTGGTATGCTGCAATATTCCCAGGTCACGTGTTCGTCTGTCGTATAACACCACGGTTGTGTGTGGCTGTAGGCGTTGCTACCCGGATTCCTACAGTAGTTGACCTCCCCACTAAGGAGAGTGCTGTAGTTGTTGAGGTGAGGGTACTGGGAGGTCCATCGCTGACACACTCTCCCCGAAACTGTACGACCCCAGTTGCCTTTGTAGTCTGTTCCAGACTGGGTCTGTTTACAACCTACAACCACACACAGGTTTTAAAGCTCAAATAACACAATATACCAACATCAGGATACCAACAAACCAAAATAATAATATGTTAAATAAAAGACCCGGAGTTGTCGTTCGTTGTGTTATTGATATCACCGCTCTGCCCAAGATACATGTAAGTTATTGCCCTGATTTGGACTTGTATTATATGATAATTAATATCAGAATCGATTTGTTAAGTTTAAATTGCTTCCAAAAGCAAAATATTATAACTTGAAAATATTTAAATTGCATAACAATATATTATCATTGATAATCGCGAGATAACGCTCTGGACAGAAAGCCCGTGAAGAGAGTTGCCGTGTGTTTTCCCCATTTAAAGTTACAAGTAATTTATAATCATTATATTGAAAAAAATAATTTGAAATAAGGATCAAATTTTGTCGAATTCGTGTTTAATCTTGTTCTACGAAATGATTGATAGGTGGAAATCTAATTGATTATAGTACTAGTGGATTATAATACAAGTTCATCAGTTCATCAGTTTATTTACTTTAAACCTTACGGATTATCAGTACAGTGCATATATTTACAGTGCAAGTACAAACACAACAACAAACATAGGAAATACATAGCACACAGCACACACAAACCACGTACACAGGATCAAAGTGTAGAGAATAAGTCCATATATCTAACTCAACACATATAAATTAAATTAATGTCTTAAACAGTATTTATTCTCCTTTTGTTACTAATACTTATAAATTTTCCTAAATTCAACAGATCTTTAGTATTTTCTGTTTCCAAAAGTTGTATAAATTTTGCCATACTTGGTTTCATATAGTAATACTTTTTAATAAAACGTTTCCTTATATCTTTATAATGTTCGCATTTTAAAATAAAGTGATACTCATCTTCAATATCGCCACTCGTACAAAAGTTGCAAACTCTATCAATTATTTCAACGTTATTGTATCTACCGGTTTCAATATACAATTTGTGCGATGATAATCTAATTTTTGCAATTTCTTTGATATTTTGTGAACCAATAGATTTTGTTAAATACTGTTAAAGACAAAATTTACCACTTATTTATATTTATACAATGAACACTTTGAAGACAACTCAATCAAACCCATACATTCTTGCTGAAATACATCACAAATCCTACATTTAATTACATTTAGAATAAAAGCTTCATTACTAAAATAACTACTGTCCCACAAATATCCTAAACCCATTTTAAATAACTCGTCCTTTACACTATTTGTCCATTCACTCCCCCTATCAAGCATTTCTTTATAACACGACTTAAGAATACAATTTTCTGAATTTCTTAGTTTAATCCAATATTAAAAAATTCTAAAATTTTCGAATTATGCTTAAAGGTAACCTGCCCCATTCTTGATATATCATTACGTTTGGTGTACTTTTCTTAACCCCTAAGATTCTCTTGCAAACATTTACATGTAACTTTTCTTTTCTATATCTGACGCCTTATGAAAACCCCAAACTTCAGATCCATAGTTCAGTATGCTACATGCGAAAGTGTCAGAAACGCTAAGTTGAGTTTCAATATTGAAATAATTTTTCTTACAAATGTTTGTTATACCAAATAATGCCTTCTTTCCTTGCTCAGCTATTTTCTGTTGCGTCAAATTTCATCATTTTTCCAAGATAATTAAAACTATCAACATTTTTCAACAAACTACCATTATAAAACCATTTATCTGTCTCCTTCAACTTACCACCATTTCTGAAAACCATCACTTTAGTTTTGTCAACATTTACAGTTAAATTCCATTTATAAGTATATTGTAATAATGAATCCAACATTTTTTGCAACCCTTCTGCCGATTCAGCTAATAATATCATATCATCTGCATACATTAATAAAAATAGATTAATAGTTTGAAGTTAATTGAAGGACAATGTTCTGTTAAAAAGTGCATCTCACAATCGTTAATATATAAGGAAAATGAAATCGGCGACATTATTTCGCCTTGAAACAATCCTTTCTTACAACTGATGAAATCGGACAAAGAATCATTAAATTTAACACAACATTTTATATCATTGTACAAGGCACCTTATAATATTCAACATTTTACCCTCCACATCTTCTTTAATAAGCTTGTACCATAAATTTTGCCTATTTACATAATCAAACGCTTTCTTATAATCTGTGGATTTCGTAAACAAGCTTTGTCCACGAAACCATGTACCAATGAAAATGCGTGTTTTCTTAAACCAGGAAAATTGAGCCTTACGAAAATATATGATTGAAAATTTTGCCATTTTCGTTGATTGGCTAATTTGTTTTCGATGAAACGTCTGACTATTAGTTTCATAGAAGGTTAAAAAAAGTACCATCATGTCAACACAATCATAATCCAAACTCAAAATCAATAAAACTAGGGCCAAATATGAAAAAAGAAAGATTTAATCGGAGACTGCTGAAAACGTACAAGAAGAATAGGAGATACATGCTTACTATATCCTGCTTTCAGTAAGAATGTACCTTGTCATTCTGTCAATAACATGATTTCCAACTTAATTAACAGTAATTCAAATGATTCGACACTTACGCAATATTTCAACTTTTTTTATTAAGATAATTATCATAAAATCAGAAAACATGTTTTGGAATTAGTATCTGCATGTGGTATATTTGATGTCTATCAACTCAAAATAGTTTATTCACACGAGTACGAATATTAGTATCGGTGCTGGATTTAACTTACCCGTATTTGATGGAGCAGCTGTATTGTACACAGATGTTCCTGCAAGGTAAAGTAGACTTTCAAAGAAAGCAAACATACGAATTGGAATGTCAATTCTGCACTTGTTTGGAAAGCTTATGATAGATCTGTTTGAGCAATTCAAATCCATCTAATTCTTTACAATATTTCTGTTATAAAATTTATAATTTACAGGTTTTTTAAGTAACACTTTATCTAAATCCTGTCTGGATCTATTTTCCGACAATCTTTTTATCATTCTTCTTTACCTAATAAAGCATTTTAGTCGTGTAATTAAATAAATTGACATCGAAACTGTATTTTGTATTGTCTGTATTATTTTTGTATTAATGTTGCATGTTAGATTGTCATTTATCATGTATATTAAACATACATATATCTAAATTAATGTCGATGAATAATAGTTACTACATCCAAGTATATTCTTGTATGTTAATGTATACTATAATTTTAGTTGTTCTGAAAATGAGACAAAAGAAATATAATTTAAGTTATGCTCGTCAATTAAATCTTTGTAATACAGCTCTAAATTTATAGAATTTCACATTAAAAAATTCTCAGAAATTTTCAACTATCACGTTGTTTTCCTATCATAATATCAGAATAATTATAATCTGATTTAATCAGACCAGGTCTACAACAAAAGCTATAGTTGCTCCAGATTGAACAAAATACACTTACTTCGTGTAAAGCAAATTTCAAAATATCCACCACAGCCATGGTCAGTCCAAAGGCTGTTTCCGGACCGTCCAAAGCTAAAACCACTCTTACAATCGGCCGTGCTTGTCTGTCTAGTCAGTCCTATAAACGTTATGTACCTTGCGTCTTCCACGTGACATAGCTTGAAAGTGTTACCTGAACTGGAACATGGGATTTCTGAACTCGCCTCGCAAACTGGCTTTTCACCCACACACAAACCAATGTCAACGGAATAATCACCTCAGCCACACACACAAACCAATGTCAACGAAGTAATTACAACACCCACACACAAACCAATGTCAACGAAATAATCACCTCACACACACACAAACCAATGTCAACGAAATAATTAGCTCACACACACACAAACCAATGTCAACGTCACACACACACAAACCAATGTCAACGAAATAATTATATCACACACACACAAACCAATGTCAACGAAATAATTATATCACCCACACACAAACCAATGTCAACGAAGTAATTACATCAGCCACACACACAAACCAATGTCAACGAAATAATTACCTCAGCCACACACACAAACCAATGTCAAATTCAAACAAATAAAAAACTCAGACCCACACACAAACCAATGTCAACGAAATACTCTCCTCACACACACACAAACCAATGTCAACGAAATAATTATATCACCCACACACAAACCAATGTCAACGAAATAATCTCCTCACCCACACACAAACCAATGTCAACGAAATAATCTCCTCACCCACACACAAACCAATGTCAACGAAATAATCACCTCACACACACACAAACCAATGTCAACGAAATAATCTCCTCACCCACACACAAACCAATGTTATATCACCCACACACAAACCAATGTCAACGGAATAATCACCTCAGCCACACACACAAACCAATGTCAACGAAATAATTATATCACACACACACAAACCAATGTCAACGAAATAATTACATCACCCACACACAAACCAATGTCAACGAAATAATCACCTCACACACACACAAACCAATGTCAACGAAATAATTACATCACCCACACACAAACCAATGTCAACGAAATAATTATATCACCCACACACAAACCAATGTCAACGAAATAATTACAACACCCACACACAAACCAATGTCAACGAAATAATTATATCACACACACACAAACCAATGTCAACGAAATAATCACCTCACACACACACACAAACCAATGTCAACGGAATAATCACCTCACACACACACACACAAACCAATGTCAACGGAATAATCACCTCACACACACACAAACCAATGTCAAAGAAATAATTATATCACCCACACACAAACCAATGTCAACGAAATAATCTCCCCCACACACACAAACCAATGTCAACGAAATAATCTCCTCACACACAAACCAATGTCAACGAAATAATTACATCACCCACACACAAACCAATGTCAACGAAATAATTATATCACCCACACACAAACCAATGTCAACGAAATAATCTCCTCACCCACACACACACCAATGTCAACGAAATAATCACCTCACACACACACACAAACAAATGTCAACGGAATAATCACCTCACACACACAGAAACCAATGTCAACGAAATAATCACCTCAGCCATACACAAACCAATGTCAACGAAATAATCTCCTCACCCACAGACAAACCAATGTCAACGAAATAATCACCTCAGCCACACACAAACCAATGTCACCGAAATAGTCTCCTCACCCACAGACAAACCAATGTCAACGAAATAATCACCAATGTCAACGAAGTAATTACAACACCCACACACAAACCAATGTCAACGAAATAATCTCCTCACACACACACAAACCAATGTCAACGAAATAATTATATCACCCACACACAAACAAATGTCAACGAAATAATCACCTCTCACACACACAAACCAATGTCAACGAAATAATTATATCACACACACACAAACCAATGTCAACGAAATAATTATATCACACACACACAAACCAATGTCAACGAAATAATTACATCACCCACACACAAACCAATGTCAACGAAATAATCACCTCACCCACACACAAACCAATGTCAACGAAATAATTACATCACCCACACACAAACCAATGTCAACGAAATAATATTATCACACACACACAAACCAATGTCAACGAAATAATTATATCACCCACACACAAACCAATGTCAACGAAATAATCTCCTCACACACACACAAACCAATGTCAACGAAATAATTACATCACCCACACACAAACCAATGTCAACGAAATAATCTCCTCACACACACACACACAAACCAATGTCAACGAAATAATTACAACACCCACACACAAACCAATGTCAACGAAATAATCACCTCAGCCACACACACAAACCAATGTCAACGAAATAATTATATCACACACACACAAACCAATGTCAACGAAATAATTTCCTCACACACACAAACCAATGTCAACGAAGTAATTACATCACACACACACAAACCAATGTCAACGAAATAATCTCCTCACACACACACAAACCAATGTCAACGAAATAATCACCTCACACACACACACCAATGTCAACGAAATAATCACCTCACCCACAGACAAACCAATGTCAACGAAATAATCACCTTCGCCACACACAAACCAATGTCAACGAAATAATCACCTCAGCCACACACAAACCAATGTCAACGAAATAATCACCTCACACACACACAAACCAATGTCAACGAAATAATACATCACACACACACAAACCATCACCACACACACAAACCAATGTCAACGAAGTAATTACAACACCCACACACATGCCAATGTCAACGAAATAATCACCTCACACACACACAAACCAATGTCAACGAAATAATCTCCTCACCCACACACAAACCAATGTCAACGAAATAATTATATCACCCACACACAAACCAATGTCAACGAAATAATCCTCTCACACACACACAAACCTCTCACACACACACAAACCAATGTCAACGAAATAATTACATCACCCACACACAAACCAATGTCAACGAAATAATCACCTCAGCCACACACACAAACCAATGTCAACGAAATAATTACATTATATCACACACACACAAACCAATGTGAAAGAAATAATTACATCACCCACACACAAACCAATGTCAACGAAATAATCTCCTCACACACACACAAACCAATGTCAACGAAATAATCACCTCACACACACACAAACCAATGTCAACGAAATAATTATATCACCCACACACAAACCAATGTCAACGAAATAATTACATCACCCACACACAAACCAATGTCAACGAAATAATCTCCTCACCCACACACAAACCAATGTCAACGAAATAATTATATCACCCACACACAAACCAATGTCAACGAAATAATCACATCACACACACACAAACCAATGTCAACGAAATAATTACAACACCCACACACAAACCAATGTCAACGAAATAATTACATCACCCACACACAAACCAATGTCAACGAAATAATTACAACACCCACACACAAACCAATGTCAACGAAATAATCTCCCCCCACACACACAAACCAATGTCAACGAAATAATCTCCTCACACACACAGAAAAACCAATGTCAACGAAGTAATTACATCACACACACACAAACCAATGTCAACGAAATAATTACATCACCCACACACAAACCAATGTCAACGAAATAATCTCCTCACGCAAATAATCACCTCAGCCACACACACAAACCAATGTCAACGAAATAATTATATCACACACACACAAACCAATGTCAACGAAATAATTATATCACCCACACACAAACCAATGTCAACGAAATAATCTCCTCACCCACACACAAACCAATGTCAACGAAATAATTATATCACCCACACACAAACCAATGTCAACGAAATAATCACCTCACACACACACACAAACCAATTTCAACGAAATAATTATATCACCCACACACAAACCAATGTCAACGAAATAATCACCTCAGCCACACACACAAACCAATGTCAACGAAATAATTACAACACCCACACACAAACCAATGTCAACGAAATAATTACATCACACACACACAAACCAATGTCAACGAAATAATTACATCACCCACACACAAACCAATGTCAACGAAATAATCTCCTCACACACACACAAACCAATGTCAACGAAATAATCCTCTCACACACCCATAAACCAATATCAACGAAAAAATTACATCACACACAGAAAAACCAATGTCAACGTAGTAATTACCTCACCCACACACAAACCAATGTCAACGAAATAATCTCCTAACCCACAAACAAACCAATGTCAACGAAATAATCTCCTCACCCACACACAAACCAATGTCAACGAAATAATAACATCACCCACACACAAACCAATGTCAACGAAATAATTATATCACACACACACAAACCAATGTCAACGAAATAATCACCTCAGCCACACACACAAACCAATGTCAACGAAATAATTACATCACCCACACACAAACCAATGTCAACGAAATAATCTCCTCACACACACACAAACCAATGTCAACGAAATAATTATATCACCCACACACAAACCAATGTCAACGAAATAATCACCTCAGCCACACACACAAACCAATGTCAACGAAATAATTACATCACCCACACACAAACCAATGTCAACGAAATAATCTCCTCACACACACACACACCAATGTCAACGAAATAATCACCTCACACACACACACAAACCAATTTCAACGAAATAATTATATCACCCACACACAAACCAATGTCAACCCACACACAAACCAATGTCAACGAAATAATCTCCTCACCCACAGACAAACCAATGTCAACGAAATAATTACAACACCCACACACAAACCAATGTCAACGAAATAATCACCTCAGCCACACACACAAACCAATGTCAACGAAATAATTACAACACCCACACACAAACCAATGTCAACGAAATAATCACCTCACACACACACAAACCAATGTCAACGAAATAATTATATCACACACACACAAACCAATGTCAACGAAATAATCACCTCACCCACACACAAACCAATGTCAACGAAATAATCTCCTCTCCTCACACACACACAAACCAATGTCAACGAAATAATTACATCACCCACACACAAACCAATGTCAACGAAATAATCTCCTCACACACACACAAACCAATGTCAACGAAATAATTATATCACCCACACACAAACCAATGTCAACGGAATAATCACCTCAGCCACACACACAAACCAATGTCAACGAAATAATTACATCACCCACACACAAACCAATGTCAACGAAATAATTATATCACCCACACACAAACCAATGTCAACGAAATAATCACCTCACACACACACAAACCAATGTCAACGAAATAATTACATCACCCACACACAAACCAATGTCAACGAAATAATTACATCACCCACACACAAACCAATGTCAACGAAATAATTATATCACCCACACACAAACCAATGTCAACGAAATAATCACCTCACATACACACACAAACCAATGTCAACGGAATAATCTCCTCACACACACACAAACCAATATCAACGAAATAATCACCTTAGCCACACACAAAGCAATGTCAACGAAATAATTACATCACCCACACACAAACCAATGTCAACGAAATAATCACCACACACACACACACAAACCAATGTCAACGAAATAATTACATCACCCACACACAAACCAATGTCAACGAAATAATTACATCACACACACACAAACCAATGTCACATCACACACACACACAAACCAATGTCAACGAAATAATTATATCACTCACACACACAAACCAATGTCAACGAAATAATTATATCACACACACACAAACCAATGTCAACGAAATAATCACCTCACACACACACACAAACCAATGTCAACGGAATAATCACCTCACACACACACAAACCAATGTCAACGTCAACGAAATAATCACACACACACACACACACACACACAAACCAATCAACACCCACACACAATAATACTCACACACACACAAACCAATGTCAACGAAATAATTATATCACCCACACACAAACCAATGTCAACGAAATAATCACCTCACACACACACACAAACCAATGTCAACGAAATAATTATATCACCCACACACAAACCAATGTCAACGAAATAATCACCTCAGCCACACACACAAACCAATGTCAACGAAATAATCACCTCACACACACACAAACCAATGTCAACGAAATAATCACCTAAGCCACACACACAAACCAATGTCAACGAAACAATCTCCTCACACACACACAAACCAATGTCAACGAAATAATCTCCCCCACACACACAAACCAATGTCAACAGAATATATTAATTACCTCACACACACACAAACCAATGTCAACGAAATAATTATATCACCCACACACAAACCAATGTCAACGAAATAATCACCTCAGCCACACACACAAACCAATGTCAACGAAATAATTACAACACCCACACACAAACCAATGTCAACGAAATAATCACCTCAGCCACACACACAAACCAATGTCAACGAAATAATTATATCACACACACACAAACCAATGTCAACGAAATAATTACATCACCCACACACAAACCAATGTCAACGAAATAATTATATCACCCACACACAAACCAATGTCAACGAAATAATCCTCTCACACACACACAAACCAATATCAACGAAATAATTACATCACACACAGAAAAACCAATGTCAACGAAATAATTACATCACCCACACACAAACCAATGTCAACGAAATAATTACATCACCCACACACAAACCAATGTCAACGAAATAATCTCCTCACACACACACAAACCAATGTCAACGAAGTAATTACATCACACACACACAAACCAATGTCAACGAAATAATCACCTCACACACACACAAACCAATGTCAACGAAATAATTATATCACCCACACACAAACCAATTTCAACGAAATAATCACCTCAGCCACACACACAAACCAATGTCAACGAAGTAATTACAACACCCACACTCAAACGAATGTCAACGAAATAATCACCTCAGCCACACACACAAACCAATGTCAACGAAATAATTATATCACACACACACAAACCAATGTCAACGAAATAATCACCTCAGCCACACACACAAACCAATGTCAACGAAATAATTATATCACACACACACAAACCAATGTCAACGAAATAATACCATCACGAAATCATCACACACACACAAACCAATGTCAACGAAATAATCACCTCAGCCACACACACAAACCAATGTCAACGAAATAATTATATCACACACACAAACCAATGTCAACGAAATAATTATATCACACACACACAAACCAATGTCAACGAAATAATTACATCACCCACACACAAACCAATGTCAACGAAATAATCACCTCAGCCACACACAAACCAATGTCAACGAAGTAATTACCTCACCCACACACAAACCAATGTCAACGAAATAATCTCCTCACCCAAAAACAAACCAATGTCAACGAAATAATCTCCTCACCCACACACAAACCAATGTCAACGAAATAATCACCTCACACACACACAAACCAATGTCAACGAAATAATCACCTCACCCACACACAAACCAATGTCAACGAAATAATCTCCTCACACACACACAAACCAATGTCAACGAAGTAATTACATCACACACACACAAACCAATGTCAACGAAATAATCTCCTCACACACACACAAACCAATGTCAACGAAATAATTACAACACCCACACACAAACCAATGTCAACGAAATAATCACCTCAGCCACACACAAACCAATGTCAACGAAGTAATTACAACACCCACACACAAACCAATGTCAACGAAATAATCACCTCAGCCACACACACAAACCAATGTCAACGAAATAATTATATCACACACACACAAACCAATGTCAACGAAATAATCTCCTCACCCACACACATGCCAATGTCAACGAAATAATCACCTCACACACACACACAAACCAATGTCAACGAAATAATTATATCACCCACACACAAACCAATGTCAACGAAATAATTACATCACCCACACACAAACCAATGTCAACGAAATAATCACCTCACACACACACACAAACCAATGTCAACGAAATAATTACATCACACACACACAAACCAATGTCAACGAAATAATCTCCTCACACACACACAAACCAATGTCAACGAAATAATCTCCTCACCCACACACAAACCAATGTCAACGAAATAATTATATCACCAACACAAACCAATGTCAACGAAATAATTATATCACCCACACACAAACCAATGTCAACGAAATAATAACACACATCACAACACACACACAAACCAATGTCAACGAAATAATACATCTCACACACACACAAACCAATGTCAACACACACACACACGAAATAATTACTCACACACACACAAACCAATGACATCACACACACACAAACCAATGTCAACGAAATAATTACATCACCCACACACAAACCAATGTCAACGAAGTAATTACCTCACCCACACACAAACCAATGTCAACGAAATAATCACCTCAGCCACACACAAACCAATGTCAACGAAATAATTACATCACCCACACACAAACCAATGTCAACGAAATAATTATATCACACACACACACAAACCAATGTCAACGAAGTAATTACATCACACACACACAAACCAATGTCAACGAAGTAATTACCTCACACACACACAAACCAATGTCAACGAAATAATTATATCACACACACACAAACAAATGTCAACGAAATAATTATATCACCCACACACAAACCAATGTCAACGAAATAATCACCTCACACACACACAAACCAATGTCAACGAAATAATTACAACACCCACACACAAACCAATGTCAACGGAATAATCTCCTCACACACACACAAACCAATGTCAACGAAATAATTATATCACACACACAAACCAATGTCAACGAAATAATTATATCACACACACACAAACCAATGTCAACGAAATAATTACATCACCCACACACAAACCAATGTCAACGAAATAATCTCCTCACACACACACAAACCAATGTCAACGAAATAATCACCTCAGCCACACACACAAACCAATGTCAACGAAATAATTACAACACCCACACACAAACCAATGTCAACGAAATAATCACCTCAGCCACACACACAAACCAATGTCAACAAAGAAATTACAACACCCACAAACAAACCAATGTCAACGAAATAATCACCTCAGCCACACACACAAACCAATGTCAACGAAATAATTATATCACACACACAAACCAATGTCAACGAAATAATTATATCACACACACACAAGAGTCATCCTTGACTTGGTACACCTCCACATCATGTCGATCGTCCCTCAGACCGTTACAGTTCCCACAAATACCCGTGAAGGAATCGCCAAAATGACTGGGCACTCTGACCCAAGCGTTAGACTCGCCATCAAACTCCACAACCAGACCGCACTTACTAGCAAACCGTACATAGGTCCCACTCAGGACCACCTGGAACCTGGCACTGTGATATGGTAAATACGTCAGCTCTCCGTCAATCTGGCAACATGAACTGATATTTAGTGATTATATTTCAATCATGATGTATTTATTATCGAAACATGTGATTCAAAGTTAAAAAGTTCAATAGAAAACATCAAGAAAATACTGACGTGTCATAATCGTAATCCAACCAGGAGAATTATGAAGAAAGAGAGAATTACACGGTGCGCGTTATACATAGGTATTACGCTACCTCTACTTACAAACACATTCTTTTGTTGATGCAATCGAATAACTTTTCCAAACATCTTCACATCCACAAGCCTAGTGTATGACACTTTAGAGTTAGATCCCCTTTGTTCGTTTTTCACCTCCACAGTGTACTCACATGGATCTCCAAACTTTTTATATTCAGATAGCAGGTATTTGCAAGTCCCCATGAAATCAATCTGCTCCCCGTCGAATGTTGTATAATGGGGGTCGCCACTTACTAAACAGTTACATGTAGCTACAAATAGAAACATTTGTTTGATAACAGCTTTAAAATCCATTTTTCCTTATACGAAATGAGAACCAGACATAAAAAAAAAAAAACCAAAACAAAACAATTACAGTGAAACCTCACCTAACGACCACCTCAAAATTACGACCACTCCGCTATACGGGCACTTTTTTTCAGTCCCGTTTTTTTCCACTATATATCTTTAAATTGGTCGCTTCAGTAATACGACCACCCCGCCATTCCCTATTACGACCACTTCCTACGGTCCCAACGACCACTAATTAACGATAATTGACCAATTTCCGACCAGTGATTGAAGTTTACCTGGCGGGCAGTGAACCGCGAGCATGTGTGTCGTTCTCGACCATTGTTTTCGTCACGGGTTACCGAACCTGTCACCAGGTGGGGGTACACGAAGTAAACATCATTATCGGATTAACTTGTGTGAAGCTTCATGCCAGACACGTTTTAATAGCGATCTATTGTTTGTTAATTAGAAATTGATAAATCGGTAGTTCTGCTGTTCAACATCATGGAAGCCCTGCCTACCCAAAGGTTAAATATGTAGTCGTTTCGGCCGATATTCCCTTGTTCGCACGCGCTCACGTTGTCGAGGGTTTTTAACTGTTTTTGTAGCGATATTACACTCTCGACATCGTTTGAACAATAAAAAAAATATGTATATGTTCAAATTTTTTTACGACATATTTTCACTGTCAAAAAACTTTATCAAGCAATGACGAAACCACGTAAACGAAACGAGCTATCGCGATCGCTAACAAGGACTCCGTAGCTCTTCGCAACATTGTGCACTGGACTCTTTTTTTTAAGTAAAAAGACAATTTTTGTACTGTGTGATACACTGTGAAAGTTAATGTTTTTACGAATTTATGTGAAAAATGAAGCGTTGAAAGACTTTATAGGGACTTCATTAATGTTACAAAACTGAGTAAATGTGTTTGTAAATTTATTTGAAAAAATTGAAAAATTAACGTTAAATTCCTATTGAACTTAAAATTGATGGTTTGTTTTCTTTTATTCAATGGTTACAATAGGAAATATACATGTATACTATGATATAAACTAAGGAATATACGCATGTAAATTCTTTTGTCTATTCACCAATTTTATCTTTTCTACATCCATTTTATAAAATTCAACATTTTATATACAGTTTAGTTATAATTGTTGAATTATATACATGTACATTACTTAATGATATATATACTCTTTATTTTAAACAGAGTTACGGTTCTTTGTGGTCAATCTGATCCACCTCACTATTAAGACCACCTCGCTATTAAGACCACTTTTTTCCAGTCCCCAAAGTGGTCTTAATAGCTAGGTTTCACTTATTAGATAACTCAAATGGTTTATATAATATGGTAATTAATAAAACTGTTTCCTACTTGTTTATCGATGTGACCAAATACAGCGATGGACATGGACATCTCCTTATGACGAGTACAACTATCACAATTTATTAGCAGTGATGTCATTATATGGATAAATACATTACGTGATTGAAAATAGGTTAGGGTTAATGTTAAATGGCACAATATTTTTGCTTATCACGCATGACCATTATGACTTATTGTGACGTCAGATTTAGATAATACAAATGATGTCCACCTTCAGAAATACGATTGTGACGCAATAATGGAGACCATAGATAAATAAGAAAGACGTAAAAATGTTTGTCCGAATTATCGATCAGGTGATAAAAAACAAGAAACTACCGACATGTCAACATATTCGTGACCCAAACTAAAAGGTAATAAAACTAGGGAAAAACATGAACAAAAGAAATATTTACACCTGCAAAATTACAAGGAAAATATGACCAGATGCTTTGGAAGAATAAGCGTTTTCTGCATCATCGATGAATCTGGCCGTATAAGTCAAATGAGAACGTGGTATAAATCAACAAACAAAAACAAAATCTTAGACCCTTCTCAAAGACCACATGTTAAATGGAAAGTCATTAAAGAAGGTCATACTGAGAGCAACGAAAGGGACATTCATGATAGAACTTTTTGTTGATATAGAAGATTTGAAGGTTTAAGGATAAAAATGTGAAGAAACAATAATGCAAAAATAAAACAAAACTGGTAATCGAATTGAAAATGAAGGCAAATTGACAGTGCTTTATCATCTTATAATAACCACTTACCTAGACCTCTAAATCGCCACGCCCCCGTAGCCCATAATCCGGTAGTAAAGGCTATGTTGGTTATTGTTTTTGGACTTGGATCTTGCCATTTAATTACTTTTACCCAGCCTTCAGATGTGTTTCTGTGAAGGACGATCAGACCATCATCCCAGCTTATATGGAATGTTTTGAACTTCGAACAGTTGAGGAGAGCACCATTATGCGAAGCTTTAGGCTTTCCATCTTTACTTGTACGAATAACAGACTTGGTATTACTCCACCCACCTATGATCACCTCGTACATGCGCTGATCGTTTGAAATCAGCGCCACGTGTGCATCGTTACATGCTTTCACATGGAAGACAATAGAATTATCCGCATCCGGTTGGAAACCGTAATCTGTCAATTTTGTGTATGTAAAATGTGGTGGATTTTGCTGCTTTGTCACTAGTTCAATCATGGTGCCTAAAACATGAACGTTTAGAAAATGAATTGGCTAATATTCTCATTCATTTAACACAAGTAATTTCGGTACGATCTATCAAACGTTTTTGTTGAGATGGACGACATTTTAGGGAATTTAAATAAATCAAGCATCATAATGAATTGCTCTTAACAATCAGTAATTTCCATCTTTTAGCATACTGCGTCAACCATACATATCATTCTCTAAGATTTCATACCAACACATTCCCGCGTGTTGCATGTATCTTCCTGGACGATATCTTCCGGACAACTTGGTTCTAATTGACTATCACAGAGCCGATGACGTCTTCTAGTTCCGCCTCCGCATTCCACAGAACATGTACTCCATGTCGACCAATCAGTTTCCGATAAATCTTTATTTGATCGATGAAAATAAATCTTCAATTAGCTTCTGATATATATGATGTTAACGGTATACATATTAGATATATTAGACAAAATATTTAAAAAAAAAATTAAATTAAACTGGACAGGAAACTGATTAGCTGCAAGATAGTAACTTTATTTGTCAAAAATATTAACCTTTTTTCTCTTGTCCCAAATATTGTATAGGTTATATTTTTTATGTTCTAAGTATTCACTGATTTACCATAAAAAGAGTAAAATCAGTTACTTCTAATCGCGAGGGCGGTCAATTTTACATTTTTCACGAGTGCGCAGGGATACCCTATCTATGATATTTGTCGCACCTTATCTTGATGTCAGTTTAATTACGCTACTCTTTCTATATCTGACTGCGTGCTCTATTTTCATTACTTCACCGGTTATGTAGTTTCACATGTAAGACAAAGACCCTCATTTAATTAAACTTTATGTAAGTAGATATAACATATGGAACTCTAATAATTAAATTCCGACCGATCAGAAGCAACACATTGGAGTTTCCTATAGAAATATGAGGCTATCTCTTCCACAAATATCGTTCCTGAAGTCCGAAGTTCCCATGGGAGAAATGATGTTTTTGTGATATGATTTGTTAAACCTAAATGAATAAATCGAAACATGTTACCATTTTAGATAATTTCACCGTAAGACCTCATATGTCAATGTAACATTGTAATAAATGGTATTTTAAAAACACCTGGACATGTATTTGTCGGAGTACATTCTTTTATATCCTCATCCTCTCCTGGACAATCTTTTCCACCATGTTCCGGTTTGGGGTTCACGCACAACCGATCTCTGATTTGAACTCCATTTTTCATAATACCTGACTTTAGACAAGTCTCGGAGCATGCAGTCCAGTCTCCCCATGAGCCCCAATTCCCGTTAACTGAAAAAAAATACTTTAATAAATTCTTTTGAAGAACGCATTACGATTAATGTTTTTTTTTTTTTTTTTCAAATTAAAATGTTGGTCTCAATTATTATTGACTGGTAAAGTAAAATGAAGGAGGTGGAGCTAACATCTCATAGCATACATTCAGTTATATGTCATGTTTTAAAACACCTGGACATGGATTAGTCGGAGAACATTCTTTCATATCCTCATCCTTTCCTGGACAATCCTTCCCACCATGTTCCGGTTTTGGGTTTACGCACGACCGGATCCTGATTTGAACCCCGTTTTTTATAAAACCTGACTTCACACAAGTCACAGAGCATGCAGTCCACTCTCCCCAGGAGCCCCAGTTTCCGTCAACTGAAAAACATGGATAAATATAACTATACTGAAGAAAGGAGAAGGCATTGAGATTGATGATTTCAAAGTAAGACATAAACATCAAATGTTTAAAAAATGATAAAATAATAAGAGAAAAATGTTTGGTTTTACAATAAACGTATTTGACACTATGATCCTTAAATGAAATGTATCAGCGGGAGAGTGGTTTGAGAACATTCCACAACATAAGTGACACATTTTAAACATATGTCGTTTGTAGTGTCGAGGTGCCAATTGAGAATCATACTAAGGAAAAATGGGGTTTTTTTTTGCATTTTTTCGAACAGGTTTATAACTGTGGGAAAGGAAAGCAGGTTTATTGTATATTTTTGATGTACGCCATTTCTACATGTTCACGTGTCAAGTGTTGATTTAAAGTGGTCTCTGTATCATCTTTGATTAAAACCATTTTACAAGACTGAATCCAGTTTACTATTTGCTAATTGAATTATATCAGCACTCTCTCAAAATAGAATGGGCATATAAGAATGGAAGGAAGGCGAAATTGATAACACGCTTGCTTTTTATGTTCGCTTCACTGATTAGACACGATAATATTTAGTTTTACTGATTTTTTGAGTTTTCCAAAAGTCACCAGAATGTTAAATGTAAATCAATTGATATGTTACAATATTGGTGTAAAATATAATCTAAAGCAAAAGAAGCGATAACGACGTGAAACGTTGTTGATAGTGAAAATTCATGCATTGGATCTTTTCACTAAATGCTCTGTAAAACAGATAACCGTGAATGAATTAATACAAAACTACAAACAGAATTCATTTCAAAATAAAGGCAGCAAAAACGTTCAATTAAGAAATGCTTTTCAATTGTAGATTAAAAGACTTAATGTTGCTTAAAACATGGATGTTAAGAGAGCAAATAACAAAATTATTCTTGAAACGAGACAGAGTATTTTAGTATGTGATAAATTATTAACAATTATTAAGATACATTGAATAACATATAGTCTGATCGGGTACATTTAGGTACATTATAAATCTAAAACACCTGGACATGGACTTGTCGGAAAACATTTTTTCATATTCTCTTCCTCTCCAGGACAATATTTTCCTCCATGTTCCGGTTTGGGATTCACGCATGACCGGTTCCTGATTTGAACTCCGCGTGCTATAAAACCTGATTTCAGACAAGGCACAGAGCATGCAGTCCACTCTCCCCAGGACGCCCAATTACCATCAACTGCAAAATTGATAAATACATGAAACTAGATACTATAGTGAAGACGGAGAATGCATTATGAAATAAACATTTCAAATTAATACATTGTAATTAATTATTCTAAAACTTAGTTAAACTCTTTTTTGATACATTCAGGTACATGATATTTTCAAAACACCTGGACATGGGTTAGTTGGAAAACATTCTTTTATATCTTCATCCTCTCCTAAACAATATTTGCCATCGTGTTCCGGTTTTGGGTTTACGCAGGACCGGTTCCTCGTTTGAACTCCGTTTGTTTTAAAACCTGACTTCACACAAGTCACAGAGCATGCAGTCCATCCTCCCCAGGAGCCCCAGTTTCCGTCAACTGAAAAACATGGATAGGTATAATTATACCGAAGAAAGGAGAAGGCACTGGGATTGATGATTTTCAAACCAATGCATAGTTATCAATACAAAAGCGACTAAATGATAAAGTAGAAAGTAGATAACCTTGAATTAGTACAAAACGACAGTGAGTAAGAAAATGTAGTCTGACCGGATACATTAAGTATATAATATTTTTAAAACACCTGGACATGGATTCGTCGGAGAACATTCTTTCATATCCTCATCCTTTCCTGGACAATCCTTCCCACCATGTTCCGGTTTTGGGTTTACGCAGGACCGGTTCCTCGTTTGAACTCCGTTTGTTTTAAAACCTGACTTCAGACAAGTCACAGAACATGCAGTCCATCCTCCCCAGGAGCCCCAGTTTCCGTCAACTAAAAAACATGGATAAATATAACTATACTGAAGAAAGGAGAAGGCATTGAGATTTATACTTTTCATATTAATACATAGAAACGGATGATCTTAAACAAAGCAAAGCAATTAATGATAAAGGGGGAAATGGGTTTATAATAAATGTACTTGGTAAAGCGTTTTCGCTATCTAGATTGATAATTTTAAACATGTATATTTTCTAGTGCCAAGATGCCAATTCAGCATCATACTAAGTAAAGCTGAGTTTCGCCTTTTTTGAACAGGTTTAGGATTATGGGAAAGAAGGTTTATTGCATATCTTTAATATATATCATTTCTTTATGTTAACGTTTCAAGTAAAACTTGCTATCTCAAATAGTTGATAAAACTATTGTATTTATTGCTTTTTGTTGTCTTGGTTGTTGTTTAACGGAAAATGTTTTCTTTCAATTATTGTAGTAAGCTTGATTGTACTTCTTTAATAAAGCCGAAAGAACCTCTGAAGGCGTAACAACTTTGTGCTCATTTGTACTATTTCAGAAAGGACGCAGTAACACAAAGCTCATACAGACGACCTGAGTTGAATTGCCTGATCACACACGATATTGTTTAACAGACTTCTTGCGTTTTCTCAAGATTTTCCATGCGATTTAAATTGCAATATACTAAACAAAAAAAGAAAGGTAACACTACATTATTCTGTGATTAATTAATAAACCCCTTCATAAATCCTTACCAATCATGTACGAATAAAGTAATTGATCAATTCTGATAAAACTGCAGTCATGGTTCATTATAAAACTTTGCGTTCAGTTGATTTTATTCGACTGTAAAGGACGTTGGGGTCAGTTTCAAAGGTAACACCATTAGTAACGGGTATGGCCACCGTTTGCGAAGTAAACAGCATTGCAGCGTCGTCGCATGGAACTCGTAAACCGGCGGATATTTCGAGGAGAGATGTTGTTCCATTCAGCGATCAAGGCTTGGGTCAGCTCCTGCAAGTTTGAAGGCTGGTTTTGACGTTCTCTAACGCGTCGCCCAAGAACGTCCCAGACATGCTCAATTGGTGACAAATCAGGTGATTTAGATGGCCAATCTATACCTGTACGTTATTCTGCTGCAAGAAAGTTCTGCTGACGCGACTGGTGTGCGCTGGTGCGTTATCCTGTTGAAAATTAAATTGCCATTTAACACAACAAGCCTGGTACGAGTCCCCCCACAAATACCACCCCAAACCATTACACTTCCGCCGCCAAAGCGGTCCCGTTCTGCGACGCAGCAGTTCGCAAAACGCTCTCCTCGTCGCCTCCACACTCTGCGCCTTCCGTCACCGTGTTGCAGACAAAACCTGGACTCATCTGAAAACAGAACATTGTTCCATTGTCGGAAGGCCCAACGACAGTGAACACGGGTCCAGTTACGCCGATTATTACGGTGACGTTGCAACAAATTGGGTCCAGTGTAGGGACGCCGCGCTTTCAATTGGTAGGCCCTCAACCTGTTGCGGACTGTTTGGGGAGACACACGACGCCCAAACAATGTTCTTGTAGTCTCTACTGCGGTTACGAATGGATTGCGCAAGTGTATCAATCGTATACGACGGTCATCCCATGCGGTCGTTTTACGGGGTCGGCCGCTTCGGGGACGATCGGATGTTGTCCCAGTTTGGTTTAAATGACTTACTAACTGGCAAATTGTCATAACACTGCAACCAAAATGCCGTGCAACTCGACGGCGAGACTCCCCAGCCTGGATTATGCCTACAGCCCTTTCTCTCTGTACTTGTGACAGCCGGGGCATTATGATAAAATTGATAGATAGCAAGATTCGGTGATTTCTAAGTCCTAAGGATCTAAGGAACAGTTGTCAGTTTGAATGTTTATGAAATTCAAGCGAAGATACAAGTTAGTCGCAGAAAACCTCGTGCAGCTTATTCGCTAATACAGACTTTCACGCCGGAATGATTTTGGTAACCCCCTTGGATTTTGTAATGTAAAACATTACCATTTTCTAATATTGCACAAACGTCATTTTGTTTTCATTCGTTTACAGATAATCGCCAAGGAAACATGTTAACCTTTCTTTTTTTTGTTGAGTATATAAGCGACGTAAAATTATTTATCTAGTGAATACATCTTTTTTGTTTTCTTCTTTCTTTAGTTTTCTTTAGTCATCATTAGCTATAGCCAAACTACAGACATCCTCGTTATATCGGATCTTTGTAACAGAGGGCCCATTTAATTACACAATGTTTATAAAGCCAATAAAATATGTGTTTGATCAACACAAATTATTTACCCGGACAAAATTTGGATGGAGTACATTCTTTCGTCTCACTTGTGGGTCCCTCGCATTGTTTACCGCCATATTGTGAAGGCGGATTGGAACAGTTCCGATGTCGGGACGTTGTACCAACGTCTTCTCCCGTGTTCTTACAGGATATTGAACAATGACTCCATTCAATCCAATCAGACCACTGACCATCAACTATAAAATGTAACGAAATCAAAATGGCAGTTCGAATCTATGCTACAAAGAACGTCAAATACTGAGACAAACTGGCGGCGATTGACTTACTTAATAATGCGCAAAACCGAACAAAAGCATGCAATAACTTGTGATGTGTCAACCGAATGTCCTTTCGTCAGTGAATGTTGACTATGACCAATACAATAAACTATAATCATGTAGATGGTTTCAGATGAATGTGTTAACCAAGTAACAGCCTGTTTATTTCAAGACTTCACTCACTTACATTAAATATTTCATTTTCGTGAAACCTGATCACCATGCTGAACTCATTGATACGTTTTCTTAATTAATTAACTTTTTATCGAATCTGAATAATGGATTGAATTATTGTGGAATAGTGATTCATTAGCAGAATGTGATTTCAATGAAAATTGATGTATTAAAATTAATTAATTTAAAGCAATGGTCATCAAACAAATATCAATACTTGAAAAATCGAATGTAGTAATTATTGTGGGGTCCATTTCATTTCGTTGTAGTGATGATTATGGGGGTTGACTTTTTTTATTTTGCAGTAATGATTTTTTGGATTGATTTCTTTTACTGCTCCAATTCTAAGTCTCACTTGGACAAAATATCGTTGGTTGACAGGAGCTGGTCTCAGCGTCGTTGCCGACGCAGATGTCGCCGTCGAAAGCAGGTGCAGGATTCGTACAAGTGCGACGTCTGGTACGTGAGCCCCTTGGGGTAGGATGACCTTTTCGTCTGCATGTTGCTGAACAAGGTTCCCAACTCTGCCATTTTGACCAATTGCCATCCACTGAAACATGACGTCATTATCGATATGTCTATGGCGTTTTAAATACAACATAAACAAGGTCGTTATTATGATAGTGTTGAGACAGAATAAATAACCGTTTGTTATAAATATATTGTGACTGTTACTACGTCTTTCCTATATTCCCTGTGGCGGGCCACTGATCGTCATCCACTGTCTTACTCTGACTTCAGCTAAAATTAGGAGTTTGGTAAACAATGTTTGTTTTGTCTCTTTTGTTTTTACTGTTTTGTCCTCAGGGCGAACTGAAAGTTGTTTGTTGATATTGTGTGGTCACATGGGTGTGCTGATGTAATTAATAAGATGCAAGATTCGGTCACGTCTCATCAAAAAGACATAATAACTATAAAAAGGAAAAATAGATGAAGAAACACCAGGAAAAGATAATAATAAAAAAAATACAATATATCATCAGAGACCACGTCATTGTTTATAACAAAATCATAGACTGTAACTCTTCGTGGGTACACGTGATGGATGACCACTAGAAACTAAGGAAAATCAAAGAATTCCACTGGATAAATGGGGGTAGGTTAGGGGTGGATGTCATATACAGAAAGCAGGCGGTTGCAATCAGGCCTGGTTGTTCAAAGGTTAGTTAGAGTTGACCAGTGGATAGTGGAAAATTCTGATTGCTGCCACTGAAGAAACAAAAGTGATAAATTAGCGCTAAAACCATATCAAGCTATCTGTCTCAATAAACCTACAGCTGTGAAATGAGAAAAAAATTGTTCCAATTTTGTGTGATGCATTTTTGAAAATTTTTACTAACCACTGGTTGTCTTCGAACAACTTGGGCCAGATGAATCTACTTAGACTACCTGCAGTATAGGAGTGCTTTTTAACAATTTAATACCTGACCTTACACCTTTGTAATTACGTCGAAATGTAATCCACTGTTATTTCTCAGTCATATGCATATTTTAAGAAACAATCGTTGTCGAAAGCTTGCAAATAATGTTCAATCACTTTTAAGGATAAACCTTCCAAAATGAGGAGAAATTCTTGTTTAAAATCAATAGGATTAGGAAAAATACATGGAAGTACAAAGATAATTTTCTCTCCGTTTTTATGTTTTCTACTTGGATGTATTTGCAGCTGTGATCTTGACTTCCAAGCTTCTGAACATTTGTAAATCATCGTATCTTTACCTATTTTACTTTTCATAATATTGTTGTTAATCAATACATTAAGTGTTAATGTATAATAACCAGCACTGATGTCCATGTAGAATATATTCAAATCGCAATACCTTCCAGCCAAATTATATGAGATATTGTCATCAAATATAACACAAGAATACAGAGTTAAATCAACCTGGACTTTGAATAAGTTCATTTGACACAGATGTGAATGGTACTTAAGAAAGACCGACCTGGAGCTGGCATTGCGCAATCTTCGTTCTTTCTTCCGTCGGCATCATTATCTGTTGATGTAGATTGTTACAAAAGGTCATTAAGGGGTATAGACACAGGACCTCTCAGATATGATTTAAACAACCGAGTTTTTAGAAACAATTCCGCAAATACACGTGTATTAAACCAATACATTTGTAAATACATTTTTGTAGCCGACACTTAAAATCGTCGTTATGCTAATGCTTGCAACATTTGTAAGTACCTTTTTGGTCCAGGACACACAATTCTTCATCAATTAGACCATCACAGTCGTTGTCCAGCCCATCTCCAACAACAGAGGGGGTCGGCTCACAGGGCTAAGAATCAAAACTTAAAATATACAGTTGCAATATTCATAATTCATGCATAATAGACCTACTACAAGAAACAAAAATACAATTTCAGAAGTAATACATCACTTCCTTACAAAGAGAAACTGAAAACTGTAAGACAAATGGCGGGAAATGGGTAAAAAAACACAAACACGCGGCATTGAATTGAAATCTTGTATTGTTTATACTAAAGAAAATCTTGATACCTGATAAATTTTAAACTTGACTGCATCTAATTCATTTGACTACTTAACAGGAAGTCAAAGTGTTTTTTTAATAATTAGTGAATGAAAACGGAATATCGCTTAATTCTCTCAATACATACCGTATTGATGGGAGCCATTCTCATTCCTGTAGGGAATCCATATGATTCCATAGTAGCTCTTCCATATAGATAACCGCCAAATATGCAGATAGGTGAAACGTGACGGACGTTATGGGAACCTTCGGGAATGGATATGTAGCCTCCGACATACTCTGTTCCTGATATCTGAGTAAATCGGACATTCGAAGGAAACGGTTTTCCATTAAGTCTTAGTCCTGATCTATCTTTTGACTTGACGATGAATAAGAAATAATTTAAAAAGGAGCCAAACGAGTATTTCGGTGTAGCAAATGTGTAATCGGAGGCAAATTGTTCAACAGGAGGAATGATGATCATGCTGGGATCTGAGGGTTCGAAGCGCGAAGTCTGACTCTGAACAAATTGAGCAACAAAGATGGCTTTATTGGCCGTAACAAGACAGTAAGCATGGGAAGGGATATTTTGTTGCGCGACATCTCCGGCCTTTTCTATAATTATTGTATCCAAATATCCACCGGTTATGTGAATCTCGGTGTTATCCTCACTTGCAACAAACCGGAAGAAGTCTCCTACTGTTCGGCGGGGAATCGGAACAGTAACGAACTTTTTCCCCCAAGAAGTCACTGGCATCAAATGTTCTACGATATGATCACTGCTGAATCCGCGACCGATCTTTGTTTTCTTATTTCCACTGAATACCGAAACGGGTTTATCTGAAGTCACACGACTTCCGCTTAAGTCGCCTTTACTAACCAGCTGAAAGGTATCTAATCTATCCAAACTAATATGAATTTCGTCTCCTTTACGATAATAATATCTGTCCCACCGTACCGTATAGTTGCCAAGAGCCTCACCTAAACGGATAGTAACAGCAGTGTTGTTTTCGACCCCGACAATTAACAGTTCACACTGATCTGAAGGAGGGTAGTAAGTCAGGATGTAATAATCAGTACCCAACACATCAACTGGTAAACCTAGAAATGCGTCACAGGAGAATTTTTCCTTGTTCACACCATATATCACAATTTCGTCATTGGATTTCACCAAAACTCCTTTTGTGTCGATAGATGATCCTACCACTCTGATATCATTATGAAAATGAACCTGTTTTACCATACCGTATGATACATTGAAGCGATGATGTATCTCTGCTGATTCAAAGTGTGGAGCAGTTATATCTACACTAACATTTGCCCGTCTCATCGTCGTAACAAACAGCTCAACGTCTATGTCCTGTCCAAGGTTTTCCATATAACCAATGATGAACTCTGTTCCTCGATTATCCGGAGCGTCTGTATTAAAACATTGTTTAAAACATTTATATAAATGCAATATTTCCCTTTATCAAACACTATCAAGCGAATCCCATTACTACGGCTTAAAATACCAAGTGGTTTAATTAGACTTTTTGACATATAACATTATTACTACCATAGATATGACATTGTATGAATAACATCCTTGGCGACACTGCTAATTTAGAAACAGCAAAGGCTCTTCATCTAATAACTGCAAATATGAACAATTGCATTCGTTAAATTTCACAATGTTACAGTTTTGCTATCATATCGATGTCAACGTTAAACCCCAACTAATCCCCGTAAATGTGTTAGGGTCGTTATGGTAGTTACTATTTTAATCTTTTGATAACGATAACTTCCAAAGAAGGCACATCTGAATCATTTTTACTTTGTTGACAATCCTGGCAAGCGAACGATATCAGAATAAAGGTTTAAGAAAATTACACTGCATTACATGTATGTTAAAAAGAAATAATACAATGTTAAATGGAATCAATATTAAAGATATGAATATCTGAAATGTACATTCTTTGAGATAGCAGATAGTAGACACTGCTGGTGGACTTTTATGCTTCGGGGTTTGCCCTAACATAACTTATTCACATGTACTTGACGTTGTTCTAAAATTATCTAATATATGAAAATATTCTAATTAGGGAGTTGCTGCACCTCCATATCTACATTTTGACTTTTCTTTCGATCACTTTGATTTCTCCTTATCTGACTCACAGCCTTCAAATGTTAGGCCCTTAGCATCACTCACGAGTTCAAGAAGGACGCAACAGCACTATAATTCAGTTTAATGCATTGTTTAGCTCTACTCTATCTGATCTAAATCATTAAATGGTGCTATTCACTTCTGTGTCTTTTGTATAATCTTCAAGATTGAGACCGACTTAACTTTTAGTGTCACAAGATTAAAATGATAAAAATATCAACAGAACAGAGAAAATTAAAGATCGAGCGAATATTATATCTCATAATACTGAAGGAAATTCCGAAATACATTTAGCAATATGAAGTGCACTTTAAAATGTAGCCATGGAAAGTATTAAGAAAAAATAAAGAAAATTCAGTAAATGTTTTCATTGTAGGATTTTATTATTCTTATTCCACACATGATCTCTTCTATATGAAATTAATTCGAAACTTTGGAATTGTAATCTTATTTCGTTATAAAACAAAGACATGACCTATTTTTCTACATCAGTCACTTATCTCGATCGTTTTCTACAACATGGACAGCTTTCCGTCAAGCTGTATGATAAGCGTGATAATTTCAATTTCCCCATTGTGAATTTTCCGTTTCTGGATAGCAGCTAGCTTGCAACATCAACCTATTGTATTTACATCTTGACAACCTATTCAAGGGACTGTTCCCATTATCACGATTTTCGTGGAAGATGTCAGCAACTGACGGACAAACTCGTAACAATGGTTTTTAAAGGCGCATGTTGCTGAAGCTTTACGGTCGTAATAGTTGTCTTATTGATAAACAATCTTTTGCTTTGTGCAATATAAAGCTGGACGTGTTTGATACTCGTTTTTTGGTTCCATTTTGTAAACTCTGTCCTCGTTTGAGAACGTGACATTACTTTGGAGAATTCGTGTAAATCTTTCCTTTTGTTCATATTTTATCCTTGTTTTATTGTGTTTGGATTATGATCATTGATATTTTCTTTTTTCTTTTTTTTTTAAATGTCTGTTCGTGAAATATGTCTTGCTGGTGGGTCCACAACATACGTACCACTGAAATTATGACATTTTTGGTAAAGTGTTACACGAAAGTCAGGAAGTAGCTAAATCTAGTCACACCTACATCGTTTACATCAATTAAAGCGACCGGATTTATTCATTAAGGAACCGTTCTTTTATGTCACTTAATTAAGAAATATTTGCTCAGAATAAATCTAAACAGCTATAAATCACATTGAACAAAATAGTTTCTTTATAAGGAGACTTAGTTTTGAAGTACAAAATCATTTGCTTACAGTCTTTTGTTTTGTCTTAAACCATTAAAACATTTGTATCAGTATACCGACTATAAATTGTTACCTTACTTTGTAGAAGTATACCGACTATAAATTGTTACCTTACTTTGTAGAAGTATACCGACTATAAATTGTTACCTTACTTTGTAGAAGTATACCGACTATAAATTGTTACCTTACTTTGTAGAAGTATAGATACTATAAATTGTAACCTTACTTTGTAGAAGTATAGCGAGTATAAATTGTTACCTTACTTTGTAGAAGTATAGCGAGTATAAACTGTTACCTTACTTTGTAGAAGTATAGCGAGTATAAATTGTTATTATTTGAATAGTGGCACGGTTCAGAATATATACATGTACTTGACTTTGTTCTAAAATTATCTGATATATGAAAATTACGAAATGTATTTAATCATGGTGTGAAGTGAAGATTTTGAATTTCCATTCACTTTGTTTTTCCTCGGTCGCCTCTTAGGCTTCAGAATTTAGGCCCTTAACATCAGTGAAAGGATGTAACAAATGTATGACGCAGTTTGATTAATTGTTTGACTCTTCTGTATGTATTTCTGTATTAAAAGGTGCTATTCATTTATGTGTCTTTGGTTCAATCATTTCAATGATTTCAGAAACTAAGAAAGATACAGTAAGAAAAATTTAATCTATTTCCAAATAAATAGCAATATCAACACCCAAAAGCACGATGGAAATGGGATTCGGAAAGAAATTCCAATAGAAATGTTACTTCGTTATAGAGTAAATATCAATACCACAATAACTTAAATAAAGCAAAAGAAGTTATCAGATAAAGGAAAGGTATTTCTGTTTTTTGAAGCCATATTCTTGATGGTTTCAGCATATAAGATGAAATTTTACTGAACATGAGTACATGTTCGTAGTTCAAGCTTCAGCTATATTTTAATCAGAAATCGGCAAAAGTTACTTACTGAATTTGACGACCTGCCCGCGCACCAGTCCTGTGGGAAAGGGAACAAAGAAAATCAGAAAAAAAGAAAGATCAAACATTAATATATTTTTTCCGTTCTCTATATTTACGAATTGATATGAAAAACTCGCCAAGTGAATTTGAAGGCAACAGCGAATTTCAATCTGAGAAAATTAGATAATTTTACAGGATTATGGTTCTCATAACGTCTCATGTCATGTCAATTTTCATCTTTTTGCTGTGCGATAGGAAGTTCGAGTTCCGCGAAGCTCGTAAAAATGTCTGATGGCGACGTTGTTGTTTAACTTGCTTTTATCTAATATTACTTACTTTAATTATTAAATATAATTAAATATGGCACCTGTCGCAGACAAAGTAAAAGACGAATAACCTTTCTGAACACCTGTTCTTATTCTCATGTACTTGTTTATGTATCTCCGTGTAAATCCCTTTCCCCTCTTTTTTGTTTGTTTACAGTTTGCCCTAGCTTCATCTATTTTGAATTTAAATCATGTTTAAATCACTTCACATCAATTCACTTGGATTCCGATAACTTAACAGTACGGTTGAAACATTCCTAATCAATATATGTTTAATCAGTCCTTTATTCCTTGACAGTGAGCAATATGATAATATATATTTCATGATATCTTGAAAACTCGAAATTTAGACGCAGCATATTTTATTTTCTAGTGGCATCCCCTGTTAAAATAATTATGAGTTCGATTTCAATAATTTTAATAGTTGGTCAAACTAAAAATTGACGAGTTTTAGTTCAGTTATTTTTCTAGTTAGATAAATTGATGATGGGATTTATTATTTTCCTAATTAATTGAACTAAATTAATGGCGAATTTATTTCTATTGATAATGTACTTAAAATAAATTATATTGTTACATGCAGGTTTTTGAAAGTAACGACGTAGAAAATCCATTGATCATATATTCCTGGTTATTTTGACTGCAAAATTAAGCTGCTTCCGTATTCTTACAATGTTAAACGAAGATGTGCGAACAATCCCTTGAAATACTATCTTTGTCAATTATAATAAGTTGAACGTGCAACCTTCATAATTTAGAAATCAAATAATATGTTACTTGTTAATAACCTATAGATATAAATTATCAGATGATTGATATATTCCATATCGGTCAACAGTGAATTGAAGGAATATTCCTATTTAGACAATAAGTTCACAAGCCAACTAGGTATAAATTGATGATATATTCCAAAGCAGTTAACAACATTGACGGGTTAAAATTATAATTACATTTTCCTTCTTATTAAACAGATGCGTCTACCTTAAATTGAAAATATTTTGCTGGTAGGTCATCATAAAAATGTTATTATGTTAGTACAATAAATCCTTAACTTAAAATTGTCCATAGAGGAGCATTACATAGTATAAGGAAATATCCATGAATCCATTTTTACCCTTATGTTTTCTCTATGGAAGTTAAAATTTCTTTAATTTTTTTTTTAAGAAACTAGGGTTTTCTTATTTAACATTAGTAAGCGAACGAATCAATTACATGATTTAATTTTCAGAGTTAATTTTTACAATAATCTTGTATGATGTTTTTACTAATTTACATGTTTTTAGCTGTTATTTATACAGCTCATAAATCTTCACAGAAAACCTATATTTGATTGTAATGATTATCGAAACAGTGTTATTCGCATATACTCGTTTAATTAAGATGATAATGTGCACTATTGCAGCAAATTCAAACGTTATTTAACAAACAGAACAATGATATAAATTTATTCAATATTCTCGCTGATAAGTTATTTATCAATTTACTACGCATAAATGATACTTTATAGACTAAGTTTTTCGTATCATACGGTTTTGACTACCTCAAAAAGTTTTGCTTTCATGTATCTACAGCATTGTTACCATCACAATGGCGATCCTTAATCTACGGACAGAAGTGAAAGTCAAATGTCGTTTTCACAAACATTATGCATTTCGAGCATTATTGTTATCTAATTATAAATAATTTTTTGTGGTCGGATGGCGTCATGGTAACGCACTCGCCTTTCCCCTAGGAACCTGGGTTCGATTCCTGGAATGGACGTGAACATGTATTGAGTCACATGTCCGAACACTTACATTTTCCCGTCTCTTCTTGTTTACTTCTACACTCTAAACTCTAATTTCAAAATTTTTGTTATCACGTTTTCTTATCTTTACATACTCATCTTAACATAATATACGGAACACACGCCATGATAAACAAATTATACAGCCTTAATGGCAACTGTACAGATCGGACTCTGTAAACAATATTGTGACACTGGAATGTTTAAATTGCAACAATTTATCTTTTGTATGAATACACTAATGAGCAAGGAAAACAGGACATAACATTAACTTTCAAACGTTGACATGTTGACAGAAGAAAAATTCATATCAAGATAACAGAAAGTCAGAATGATAATAAAATGTTAAATACCATACGAAGAATACTTGTGTTGAAGACTTAAAATCCGCACATATTTCATTGATTTTAACACATTGAATTTTGAAATGTCTAGCATATTAATGATAACCTCTTTGCCTTTTTTCGTTAAAATTAATAAAACCTATTATTTTGAAATTCACTGTTTTGGTCAATTCTGCACGATTACACGAAGTAGATATAACGATATA